GATTCACCCTTACTTGGAACCGAAGAGAGTCTGGGCGGCTGCAGGAAACGCGCACAGCGACCATTTCATCTGCCGTACTTGCAAAATACTCACGCAGATACTCAACTCCTTCAAATGTGTATGCTACACTTGCAATGGCAGTCGTCAGATCCAGGCGGCGGGTATAGTTCTTAGCCGCAGGCCTGACGGCTCGCTTTGTCTGGTCCGGGATTCCACTAAAATCCTTCTTGTCGTCGCTAGGAGTGCCGTGTCCAAAGGTTAAAAAAACATCACCCAGGGGTGAGTAGTGTCGAAGACTCGACGGCAGTGCCGTGAAAGTTCTCTTGAGCAATTCCTGGGCTTCCTGTACGTGGTTAAGATCCAGAAGTTTACGGATCTCGGGCAGGCTGGCTTTTGCCAACGGGTTGACCCGATTCTGAGGCCCACCGTACCATACGGAATCTTCGTTCATCCACAGTCTGTCAACGTCCAAGCCACCTTTGATCATCGCTCCCAAACGTCCAGTGCCGATCGGAAGTGCCTCTGTCCATACTTTTGCCGGTTGCTCATACCAGAGCACGCGATTATGCTGAGGAAGAGCCATCACGGTATTGCCAATACGCCAGCTCTCTCTTGTCACTGAGCTCCTGAAGGAAGTTGTGCAGAAGGCTGGTTTAGAGCTCGGTAGAGAGAGTTTTTGCCTTTCCGGCTGAGAATATAATGTGCTTCATCAAAATCGTACTATTGCATTGCTTCTCCTCTTCCTTGAGCTGCCACAGGAAGGACGGACAGAACCCCGTGAGTGCAAAGCTCAAGTAGAGGAGACCTGTACCAGAGCCGAAATCAAAGTCGACAATGTGTCGTGAGTGACTCTGTAAAAGTGCGAGGTAACTGCTTAGGAGTATGCCCGGGTTGGAGCATGTTCCTATCGCTTAATTTTCTGATTCGTGGGAAATTTCCCGCCCCTCCAGTTTCGGATAAATATCAAATAATTATCCCTTTTTAACTTGCAAGGGCAGGCCTTTATATCTGCCGGATATGCACAGATCAGGGGCCTTAAACCGAGGTCCAACAAGACAGCATCTGCGGAAACTGTTCTGTGGGTCAAAAGCTCTAACTTTCTCGTTCCGCTCACTATTGAGTATACCGATGGTTACCGGATAGAAAAACGAGCTGTTTAACTCCAATCTCTTAAAAGCCGAGTTCCGAACAGCTAAGACGATATAACTAGTACTAGCTTAATCAGCTGACTCTTTACCCTTCACAAGTACTCTAGCCAGACACTCACCCCAAGATACCTCCCTGCGGTGAATTTCCTAGATAGTTCACCAGACTGTATACTGGTAATGACGCAGAATTTTACCATCTGGCATCTTATACTTCATCCAAGATCTCCTGAAAAAGAATCAGAGCTCAATTTTCGGCTTTCCGATTCCGCTAGGCCTGTGGTACTCGTCTCGTGAGGAGAGATACCACCGCACCACACCCGCTTGCGCACCACACTCAGACTATATCGGAGACAAATACAGCCATCGGGTTTTGTCTGTACCATATCATATTCTCGCCATGTAGAACCTTGTTCTAAAACTGCGGCAAAATTCCCGAGGCTCACCCATATCTAAGACACATAGTATGGACTTTAACCAAAAGACAATGAAATCGCCTGATAGCCTCCTACCCAACAGGTCTTTTTCTCGTATGGACAGTGTAACACTGAATACATGTCTGCAATAGAAACAAGGTGTTAGGGATCCTCTATTAGCGAGACAAGACTTCGATTTTACCCTACCGCGAAAGATCTGTCAAGTCAGTGCGTGGCAGTTAAGTGTCTACGGGCCCTTCGGTTCATTTACTCCAATAGACCTGAACATGCTTACAAAGGTGAGTGAGCATGAAGCCTTAGATCGTTCCCCTTCAGTCCATGCATAAGCGCACAAAGGATTGTTAACAAGCAAGCCAGATCAGTCTAAACAAGCCAACAATGCACTAAGAAAATCAAGTGATGCTAAAGTTGACGCGAAACATGTGTGATCTGAAGACCAATGAGATCAATCAAGTGTCAAAAGCATCGATGATATATTATTCTTTTCTACAAAAAGATATGTCCTCACTGCTGTCGTATACTATGTAGACATTCATTATCTGCCTCTTGACAAAGGACTTTTCTGAATGCCGAGTGAAAAATGCCTCCATCATCACATACATCTTGATATGCACCTGAGATTTGCTTGACATAGTGAGTGAGACCGATTTATTCCACCAAATCGTTCTTCAAAGTCTCTTCGTCGATTTCGTACTTCTTGAAGTCCCATGTCTTGACCCGATGTTCAAACATGTAGTCAATTTCCTCCACAGTCCTATGCTTCGTCTCAGGTAGTCTGAAGAAGCACCAGAGAAAGCTGATGATAGATAGAGATCCCCAAACAAAATTGCTCTTTCCGGCAAGGTTGGCCTCCCCGGGATTGATAAGGTACGGGTTAGCCGTACTCGTAACAATACCGCAGCAAGCGTCAACGGCAATGGCAATGCCCACGGTCTTGGCTCGCAATTTTGCCGAAGGCACCTCAGTAAGAATGGTGTACGTCAGAGGTCCGATGGTGAGCTGCAAGGCGATAGTGCAAATCATGGTGATGGCGACTTGGGCCCCAGAAACAGCAGGCCTGTTGTGATAGTTTGGCGCACAAGCGAGGATCGCGACCAACCACTCAAAGATGACAATGAGACCCATACCGATAACAAACACGTTTCGACGACCGAAGTATCTCAGTAGGAACGCCGAGAGCGCGGCACAGAGGAGTCCAAGGGCGCTGTTTCCGATAGCGATGTCAAATGCTTGTTGGGTGGTAACATTGAGCTGTTCGAAGAAGTAGGTCGTGTTCGTGGCAAATCCAGCGAAATCCTGACAGAAGAAGATCATGATCACGATTTCGGTGCGTCGAAGACTGGCGCCTTTGAAACACTGCCAAATGCTAGAGTCCTTCTCGACATGTTTCTCGTACAGAATGGTCTTTTGCATCATGGCGAGAGTCCTTTGAGTGTCAATTTTTGGAGAGTCGCTGCTGAGGCGTCTGAGTGCCTTTTCGGCGTCTTCCATGCGTCCTTTACGCACCAGCCACCATGGCGACTCTGGAGTAAAGAACAGAGACGGTAAGATAATAGCAGGCCAGATCCATTGGAGAGCAAAGGGAATTCTATATCCCCAATCAGTGGTCCAGGTGTCGAAACTGGCAGTGACGCCGTTGAGGATCAGGTTTCCTATGGCGTAGGCCAGGTTGATATAGCCAGCGAGGTAGGGCCTAAGTGTTGTCGGGAGCAATTCGGATGAGTAGGTCGGAATAAGAACTTGATAGAAACCCCAGATTACTCCTGACAGGTACTCAGATGCCGTTAAGACCTCAATGGAGGGTGCAAAGAATTGCATGAAGGTAAAGGCGGCAGTTCCAATCAGAGAAAAGATTAAGGTCCAGCGTCGGCCGATCATTTCCATTGGGTATGCAACGGTAAAAGCTCCGATCACTTGTCCAACCAGGCTGGCGTTGCCCAGAGCAGCTTGCCAGCTGGCCGGGATCTGCTTGCCACTGCCGGGGACGTCGTATCCGAACTTGTTGCGGAAGGCCGGTAAGGCGAAGAAACTGTTGATGATGACAATGTCATACACACGCATGATGATGGTAAGAGTGATGATCGTAGTGTAAACGACACCTTTCCAATAGATCTTGAGGGCCTCCGTGACCCTCAATTTATGCTCCAAGTCGGTAGCTTCCGCGGCGATGTCGATCAGCGACTGATCAACTTTGGCGACCAACTGCGCATTCTTGTCTTCAACCGTGATGACCCGCTCATGCTTCTCCTGCGTTGCAACTTTCTCAATGTCTTCGATATTGTGAATGGTATTCTTGCCCTCTTCCATGTTTGCAGGGACCGGACCACGTTGCCTGCAAGGTCGGATAGTTCGCGGGAGGTTCGAGAGTTGAGGAGGGGGCTGATCTGTGGTTCCCCAAAAGTGAAGGGCTTTCTTATATGCCTGGAACTCATCTCGCCACGTTCTTGGGGTTCGGTCCTATTTCTCCCTGGTGTCTTTGTTCAATCGGAGCTTTGACGGTGGAGACCGACTCGTGTTGATACACTTTCGTCGCGTGGCGGGGCCCCGCACTTTGGCCTGAGCAGCATGCTGCGGGCGATTTCCGGCGCGGTTTTTAACAGAGTTCATGCCAAACATACCAGTACGCCTAGCAGAGAGCCGGAAGAGCCAACCTTGCGAGATACTGAGTTTGACACAATAGCGCAATAAGGTTGATTTGTGTCCGAAGAGGAGGAAGCCATGGGTGATTTCATTTTATGGTGTGACCTGTAGCAATAGTAAAACTCCACACCCGGGAAATCGGTATAGGCGCTATGGTAGATTGGAAGCACCGTTTTCCTGTGTCTTGTAAAGCACGTGGCTCGTGGAGTAGGTACTTTCGATCACCTTTTTTTAGCTTTCCCCGGCATTTGAATCTTCTCGCAGTAGGGTTGACTGGTTAGCGCACACCGTAGGCACCTACTGGCCGTCCGTTGCAACGGTCCATCGGGTGATTGTCTGTCTCGTTTGCGGTCATCGTCCGAAGGTCTGTGCTTTTCAACCGACGGACAATTTCGAGATAGAGTCAGTGGTGCAAAAGGTGAGAGTAATAACCTATGCCTGACGGCAAAAACCCGAGGGAAGCCGACCTGACACCTTGTCCACGTTCCAACAACAGCAATTCGCCCGTTGAAGTGCCTGTGTGCATGAGCTAGGATTTCACGTGTGCCCATACGTATTTGACGAAGACTTCGTCTGTGGGGATGTATCGCCACATTCAATTTGTTCCTCTTGGGACATCGAGATACTGACCACAAAAATCTCAAGGAACGCCCGCACGTCCTGCAAAAGCAACTGACTGTCGCGGCTGATAGATGCGGGCGGGGTCACCTTCTCTTCGCTGTCTCAGCTCTTCAGCTTTTCAACACGACAGAGAACTACTGTGATCTCCATTGAGGCCATGACCTGCACGCCGGAGCCTTTGTTGAGAAGGCTCTCGCCGTTGGTGATGGGAGGAGCTGGTTTCAGCTACCAGCTCCATCCCCATCCTGAATCCCTACCAGTCCGCCGCATCATAAAAAGGGCATTTGATCTCGGCTTGAGAGCGATCGATACCTCGCCATACTATGAGCCCTCTGAACAATTAATCGGTGCAGCTCTGCGCCATCCTGAGATGACATCCTCATACAAGAGAAGCGATTATATTCTTATGACCAAAGTCGGAAGAGTGCGCGAGGACCATTTCGACTATTCACCAGAGTGGATTCAAAAGTCGATTGCACGGTCGCTGCAACGGTTCGGCACAAGTTACCTTGATGTGGTATTTTGCCACGATATTGAGTTTGTCGGCATAGAAGAGGCCCTTCAAGCTGTTGGAACCCTCTATGAGCTGTCGAATTCAGGTGTCATTTGCTGCGTGGGAATTTCAGGTGCTGACATCAACATCCTTGAGGCAGTTGCGTCGCGGGCTCATGCAAAGTTCGGTCGTGCCATCGATGTGATTCAGATCTGGGGGCAGCTCACGCTGCAAAACACTCGGCTTGAGAAAGGGGGCCTGGACGCATTTCGAATAGCAGGAGTCAAAGCTGTTTGCAACTCCAGTCCTCTTGGGATCGGACTGCTCAGGAGCGGTGGAGTTCCAATCGGCGCGCTGGGAAATTGGCATCCCGCCCCCCCAGAGCTTCGAGCTGTGTGCCAAAAGGCGGCTGAATGGGTTGAGGCTGAGGGCGATAATCTGGCTTCTGTCGCCTTGCGGTTCTCAATATCCAGAGCTCAAGCAGCGTGCCGTACTGACTTTAACGTCACTACCATCACTGGAATCATTTCTGAATCCGACCTGGAAGAGAATGTGAAGACAGCGAAACAAATCCTCCAGACTCCTGGTGCCTCGTCCAGGGACTCGGGCACAAGACCCTTTAGCGATTTGCTCTTCCAGTATAGCGATATTGACGAGGAAGCAGTTGAACGAGATAGACCTCTTTATGAGGGTGTTAGGGAGATCCTGGACCCGTGGCTTGATTATGACTTTTTTGGGTCGCCGAAGGCCCAGGTCCAAACACAGGTCCAGCAGGATGGTAAGATACCCCCTTCGAGCATAGGACTTCCAAATGTTGTTCCGACCGTCAACTGTTGGCCTAGTACCAAGATGGTAGTTGTCCAGAGATAGAACTAGCAGCCTAATCCATAGAATCTAACCGGCCCTCCACTAGGCATCACCTCTCAATTGCATATCTCCCTTCGTCAACGAAATTGACTGCGCGTGGGAATGCGACTTGTAAACCAAAGTGACGAGTCCCTCCATCGCAGCTTCAGAGACATGTATTTTCCTCATTTCAGTCTTCGATCCCTCGCCTCCTGCTTGAGAGCTTGTTCTTCCACCCCCCCTCCCTCCCGGCAAACCTCTCCAATTTCCCGAGAGGTCGCGGGGAAATTATCTCATTCCCCGCAGATCGGCCGGTTATACGAGGTAGTCTGTGGACCATGTATTGGAGTATTGGTATGGGCAAGATAGCCGGGCGGTTCACCTCCACGGCAACGGATCCTCTCCTATTTGGCTGAAGGCCAGAGATATTATCCGACGGAATCAACACATTCGACTCTGGATTGACCCGGTGATGAACTGATCTATCGTCTCAGGAATTTTCCAGCGGCCACGAACTTCAAGGCAATGTGGAGATGACTTCACGAGCAGCAGCTCATTCATCGCAGTCGGATTCCCGTCTTCGAATGAGGACTAAGCGGGCATGCGACAAGTGCAGCGGCTCTAAGGTACGCTGTGATGGTGAATGCCCATGGTGAGCGCCACTCCTATGACGCGTGGCCAGTATTCAGAAAGCTCACTCTGTTTTAGCCGTCGATGTGAAGGTAAATTCGCACTGTCTTTGCTGGGGAAATGCACCAAAACTACGGCGTGGCCACTGCTAAAATCAGCTCCTCAACCCAACAGAATATCGCTATTCATGTCATTATGATCGCGATCTTAGGAGGCGCGGTCGCAAGCCGAAAAGTCAGAATGCGGGCCAAGCACTGGGAAATGGCAGGGCAGAACTATTCCATCTAACCACTATGTCCCCTGAGGCGACGGTTGAGGACATTCCCTGTGAAACAGAAAGAGGATTGGCGACAAAGGAGCTTCGAGCCTCCGACCTGCATATCCTCGAGGGCAGATCAAGCAGTGATGACCAATTCAACAATGCCTTTAACCAGAACGGAGCTTCAATCCGACCCAATCTGGGCCATAACATTTCTTCCTACAACTTTTCCCACCAAGCCGAACATGCTGGACAGGATATCCCAGAACCATCAGGGCCAGTTGGCTCTCGGCTTCTTCTACGTAGGCCTCGACCCGAGTCTTTCAGCACTGCACAGTTGACCGACGACTTTGCTGTAGAGGTTCAATCTGGACGACATGCACAAGCAGGACCTTCAGCTGTTCGATCATTCTTATGCCTGGAATCCATACGGCCTTTGCTCAATGACCTGATCAGCCCTGAAGATGCTTGTGATTTGCTAGAATTTTATTTTGCTCAAGCAGGGAGCTCTCTTTTCAGATCTGCCTCCCCTTACGTGTTGACTCATGTGTTGAGGAAGAGATCTCTCTTGCATCCAACTAAATCTCGAGAAACCACTCCAGCATTGCTGACAACAATGCTTTGGGTTAGTGCACAAACAGCTGACATTCCTCTGCTATTGCTTCCAGGAGAAAGATCTCGAGTTTGTGAGGCGTTGCGCAAACTGTCCACCTCGCTCATTCACGACAGAGATCGTGACCATTGGCAGCGAAGTCCGGGTGAGTTTTTCGACAAGGAACAAGAGCCCTATTCGCCAGTTGACATTAAAGAGCAGGAGGACGTCTTGTACAGCATAGCTCTTTCTGCTACAGCAAACCGACCAGGGACGCCAGGTCTGCAGAAGAGCGACAATCAGATCCGCCACCCTCTTCAATCGATGATGTCCTGACTTTTATCCTAATGTGCATTGTAATCTCAGGGGGGGATTTCAAGACAGACTGCTACCCATGGTGGAGCAAAGCCGTTAGACTAGCGCAGGCTTTAGGCTTGAACCGGGTAGACGCCAGCGAAGGCAAATATGGCTCAGGGTGTCCGACATCATCACATATCTGTCAGGGAAGCAACATTGAAGGTCAGTGCTTTGCTGCATTAGAAGCTCAAGAAGAACGACGCCGTGTGTTTTGGCTTCTATTCTGTCTGGATAGACATCTGGCACTAGCATTCAACGGCATTCCCAACATCTCGGACGACGAATGCGATGTGTACATTCCATTGCCCGACGACATATGGGAGAACTTCGAAGCAGTTCCTACCGAACTCCTCACTCGACGATCCCATGGACCCCCTACGTTAGTGACGGGAACCAGCTTCTTCGAATATTTCCTACCCTTGATGGCTATTATGGGAGACGTCATTCATATTCACCATCGTCGGTACCACCCTCGATTTGGAACGCTCGATGACCAGAATTCCATCTCCATGGTGGAAGAGCTATTTGCGAACTGCGCTCAGAGCATCAGTGACCTCGAAAGCCGATACGAAACAGAAGAGCTTGACGGCGCTATTCCGGCAAGCGAGTTCCTCACACCGAATTCTGGATTTCAAGAAAGTCCTTTAAACCAAGCTGTGGGATCCCCGGCAGGACGGCGACCCAAAAGCCGCGCACTGGCACAACTCGTCACTTCGTATAGTACTTTCATCTTGCATGTTCTTCATGTCCTGTTGTACGGCAAATGGGACGCTGTGTCCATGCTGGAGAACGAAGATGGGTGGATCACATCAGTGCCTTTTATGAAGTGCGCATCGCATGCTATTGCGGCTTCAGAAGCTGTTTCTCAAATTCTCAAATGTGACCCTGAACTGACCTTCATGCCGTATTTGTTTGGTATCTATCTTCTTCATGGAAGCTTCATTCTCTTATTGTTTGCCGATCGCATGCCTCAGCTCGGGCCAAACGAATCGGTTGAAAAAGCCTGTGAGACAATCATTAGAGCCCACGAAGTCTGTGTGGTCACGTTGAGCACCGAGTTCCAGGTGAGTGAGCATCAAATATCCGTGGGCCAGGCGGATCCAACTGACAGTTTGACAGAAGAGATTCCGCAAAGTCCTGCGTTCAACACTCTACAGTGTCAGAAGTGCGAGGATTACCAATGCAGAAGAAAGTCTCGTGCGGCGCAGAGTGTTGTCGCTGTATCGATGGACGAAGGGAGCTAGAGGGTTGGGGTTGTGACCACCGAGCCTACGAAATTAGTCTCCTGGCTGGCTGCTAAACCGCATCTGCATGGGCATGGCCGCATCAGAACAGCTCTGCGTGGCCTCTACCAGACTAGCTAAGAAAACATGTTTCAGATGGAGGCTGGCAGTTGGCGTTGCAGACATCTACCAGAACACCACGAAGATCGCATTGCCGCCGGTGCGAGAATCGCCGGGACCACTCGGTCACTGTGAACATTGACGCGACCTCCAAAGGCAGGCAATCTCCAGTACTCCGTACAAGTATGAGGTCCCGAGTACTGGGTATCTCGGGTCGCTCAGCGAAGGCATGGCGTTCTCGATAGTCAGCTCTCATGGTGAGGGAAAACAAGCAGAGGCTGGGGGCTGTCGAGTAGAGTAGCTTCATCCCGGCCGGCTCCCCGAGCGCTTAAGCCGCACTAGCCCCCACAACCGCACCTTATCTACAAGTACCCACTTACCGAGTATTTACCTCGTAAGTACCTAAGGAGGCAGCTGACTACGATTAATTAGGAGCTAGTGAAACACGGGTTCCATCCCACCCGCATCCTGTGTGCAAGGGGCGAGCATAGTGGTAGTACTCAGTAACTCGTACTCAGTCCTCGCATCGCCGACAATAGCCCCTATTCGCTTGCATAAGAGTACAGGGTACGAGATACTGCTATCTCGGTGTTCTCCCGGCCAGGGCAGAGCGCCTCCAGTAACGCAGATGAAACAAGCCCCAAGCGCCACAAAGTCGCATCTACGCGACCTCCTGACTAGGAACTAGCAGGCATACGAGTAAGCGTGCACGGTAAGAAGTCTGCCGCAGCAACAGAGTCTGGTCGTTTCAACTACGAGGCATTCATTAACTCTCCTATAGTCGCGCTGTCACTCTTACTCTGACATGCTTCAACCGTGACGGCCGACAATTATGGCTATTGACATCAGTAGAAGTTCCATCCCTCTGTTCCAGTCGCGGGACCGGCTGGAGCTTCTCAATGACATCGATAAATTCCGCCAACGTGGCCTCGCCAACCTTCCTCAGATCGTCGTGTGTGGCGACACCAGTAGCGGGAAATCGTCCGTACTAGGAGCATTATCCGGAATTCCATTCCCAGTCGACAGCACGATCTGTACAAAATTCGCCACAGAAATTGCCCTTCGGTATTCTTCCGATGAGACTGTAACAGGAGAGGCAACTATCAATCCTGGACCAAGTTCCTCCGAAGACCAACAAGCGCGCACTGCATCATTCCGGAGGGCAGTTACAAGCCTCGATGCGATTCCGGTCATCTTGCGAGAGGCCGAGGAAGTGATGGGAGTTAGTGGAACTGAGGGAATCAGCCGGGATGTGTTGCGTTTGAAACTCCGCGGTCGGCCGTTACCAAATCTCACTTTGGTGGACCTGCCAGGCCTCATACATTCTGCTGAGGATCGGGATGACTTAGCCAAGGTAAAAGACCTTATCAAACACTATTTCGAGCAGAAAGAGAGCTTGATCATGGTAATCGTCTCTGCCGAAAACCCGATTAACGGCCAAGGGCTCCTGACTTTATCCCAAGAGTTCGATCCCAAGGGCGAGCGTTGCATCGGGGTTATCACCAAGCCAGATACCCTCCAACACCGAGGAAAAGCTGCCAAGATCCTAGAACTTGCACGGAACAAAAACCCCGCGTTCAACTACAAACGTGACTGGCAAATCGTGAGGTGCCTGACAGATGATGAGCGCCAAAGGGGCGCCGATAGAGATAGGATTGAGTCAGACTTATTGTCCCGGGAGCCGTGGGACAGCTTCGACAAAAAAAGACTTGGAACAAAATCACTGCGCTCCGCTTTATGCGAATACCTGGAGGAACATATTCTGCACCTCTTACCCGAGCTTGTCAACTCTGTAGAAGAGGAGACCGCCTCAGTGAAGTTGTCTCTTCACGAACTAGGGCCTCATCGAACGACCCCTGACGAACGGAGGCAATATCTCATCCGAATTAGCAGACGGTATGTGCAGCTCGTCCAAGCTGCCTTGAATGGCGACTACTCCGACTCCTTCTTTGGCGATGGTGTTCCTGCCAAAAGACTTAGAGCAAAAACGATGGCTCTTACTGATGAATTCGAACATACAATGCTCACGCGGGGTCACGTATTTGAAGTTGCAGATGTTACATCTTCTCAACCAGCGTCCTATTGTGAGCCCCAGCGCATAGCCTTGGCCGATGCTCTCGTCAAAGTTGGAAAGCTCATGGAAGGCTATCGTGGCCCGGAGTTACCGCTGCTCTTCAACCCACGTTTGGTTAGGGAATTATTCAAAGAGCAGTCCCAAAATTGGCCGACATTCGCCTCTAAGTATACCGCCGACATTTGTCGTGCTGTTCAAGTATTCCTCCGCAAGGTCATGGATTCTATCTGCCCTTCGACCGGACGCGTTGGGGAGTTGATACTCCGCGAAGTCTTTCAAGATGCCATTCAAAACCATCGAGACGAATTGAATAACAAGGTTCTCGAGCTGTTCACGCCACACACTGGTTCTTTTCTATACTCGATGAGGGATCGACTACAGGCGAGTTTGGAGAATGTACGAAGGCAAAATGGAATATGGGGTGATGCCAGTGTTGCGACAAGCGATAAACCATCCCCCTTTCCCAGTAATGTTCAAGACACCGGCTCTAATGAAGATCCTCGCTTGACTGCTCTTCAGCTCTCAATGGCATACTATAGCGTCGCTCTTGAGACCTTCGTCGATAACGTGGTGGTGCTCGGGGTTGAGTCCTGCCTCCTCTCAAAACTTGAGGAAATGTTCTCCCCAGAGACTGTGGCAGAGATGCAAGACGATAAGCTACAGTTACTCGGGGGCGAAACTCCAGAAATTATTTCTAAACGCAGAAACCTTGAGGCGCGCCTGAGAACACTCGAGGAGGCGTTGAAGAACTTTCGAAGGCACGCAAGCCGAGAATTCGGGCTTGAGTTTGAAGGAGCACCAGGAGCACCCCCAAGACCGGTCTCAGAACCACCACGGAGTAGTTCCACAGGGAACGACCGACCTGAATCCCTGTCTTCAAAGCATGCTAGCGTCGATGCAACCCCGGTCTCTGGAAATGCAGCCTCAATGGTACATTCCCTAACACCGCAGCCACAGCCATTAACCAACTTTGCCACTACGCCCAAAAATGAGTTACCATCAAACCAGAAATTCGGCAGCAATATGTCGGGCACTCCAATTACTGATGTCAAGAACGGCTCACCGGCCCAGACTAGCCCCTTGCCTAAGCAGAAGATTTCTCAACCTCCAGTAACGAAGATATCACCTGGGACTGTTGCAAACGACAAACTATACACGCCTAAGGCTCTCATAGGGGACGTTGGAACGTCAGCCACCACATCAACGGCAAAGGAATCATTTCCTACTAAGACAATGACAGCATCCTTCGGTGGATTCGGCCCCCCTATAGGCGGACAGGGCTCCACTACGGGTGAATTCACGTTTGGCCCTCCTGCAAGCGGGTTCACTTTGAGCTCAGCTACGAAGAAAAAAGATCCAGAAGGAAGAAACTCAAGCTCCCCAGGCTCATCTGTAACGCAGGACAAGCTATCACATCTGTTCGGTAAGTTCATCTTCAACAGATAATATTGCTCATCCACTAAATATTCAAGCAGGCCCCCGTCAGGTCGGATGACCTTCGACCTTCAGAAAATTACGCTTCCACATGTCTCCCAAGGAGACCTTCCGCTTAGTTTCATATGTAACCAAATGAGCCTGCTTAGAGATCGCTTTTACCGCGGCCCGGAGCACGTTTTCCTTCATAAGAATCCCTGGAGCCTTGACCCTTCCGAAATGTATATGTGTCTTGCCTCGAGCCAATCGGGAGGTAACCACTGTTTTTCCTTCGAGTCAAGTGTTTTCACAACCCACTGTCTCCCCCATGTCCAGCGTGCATCTCACCACAACTTCGCAGGAGATCCGCCTCCAAGACTATCAAGGCATCTTCAGTGACGAAACCAAGAAATGTGTGGCCAAAAGCTTCCCGCATGTGGCTTGGCTTCGATGTCATATCTATATAGAATGGGTTAGAAAAGCGATCGTGGAAGGAGAAATAAGTAAAGGGGCCAAACTGGATTTGGAGGCCAGGTGAGCCTCTGTTCGAGGTCAAATATCCTCCGGCTGACATAGCTCAGATATGACACCAATGCCCCACGTCTAGGTCGCAAATGGCGGGGATGGACAATGCAGTTGCTCGTCAAGAACTGCCTAGAGAATAGATGTCTATCTAAGAGCAATGTCAAATAAGGCGTTCGAGACAATTTCTCCGCACACTATTGAAGAAGCTCGTCCTGCCTGTGTGGCCGAAACGCTTCAGCAATTCGGCTTCCCTCGTGGTATCAACTCCGCTCAAATCGTGTTCTTGGGCAGGATCATCTGAAGGCCATGGCTTGCTCGGGTCTAGTTGGTGGAAGACGCGCAGCCAGCTGTTGAAATTGAATGTGTCTGCAAAACCCAGCAGGCTTTCGTTCTTCACATCCTCTTGCGTTAGGGCGGCGACGTGCAAGAGCGCCGCGTCTTTGACGTCAACGAACTACGAAGCGCCGAATTTCTGGAGGAATCCGTATTCGTGGGGACCTTTCTAGAAGTCTAGGGCTAGTTTGCTAGTGCTGCCTGGTTGCTCGGGGTGGAAAGTGGGGCTCACGACATCGGAGGGAAAGACGGAGTTGATGACGAAGCTTGGTTTCTCTTCCTGGCCAAACCTCCAATACTCCAGCTCACATTGCGTCTTGAGAGCTGCGTAGACATCCCACTTCCGATCTTCTTCGTAGGGGGGCAGTCGCCATGATTTCCCTATAGCCTCTTCATTCCCCATGTTTGCGACGATAGTGAACTTTTTTCCGGGAACCGCGTTGTAAATGGCTCGATTGCTACTTGTGACGACGAAGCGCGGGACCGACGGCTCCTTGGCAGCGTCTCGGAGGAGATTTCTGACACCGTTGAGCACAGGGCTGATGGTCTGGTTTGGATTGGTGCCAAAAGACTTGTCTGCAGCCAGATGGACAGTGCCATCGACGCCCTTGAAAGCTTCTTCTCAGGCGGCGGGAGAAGTCACATCGGGGACAAGGACTGCTTCAAACGCTGCAGCGGGATGGCGTTCAGCCATGGCTTCTTGCACCCAGACCTCCGGGAGGAACAATAGTACGGGATGAGCCCTCTCTTACTCTGGGACTGTACGTAGGGGAATGATGCTTATAAACGAGACGAAAGGGCCCTATGTGCGTGTAATGCTGTGTTCCTGCACGAACCTGGAATTTTTCCAACTCCACAGGAGAGTCTGCGGGGGAGGTTGAGTGATTATATCTCGCGCCCTTATCTCGGCCGCTCATAGCGCTAACAGTGGTAGCTATTGTTGAAAATATTCACACAGAATGGCAATGGCCTCTACCACATCCTCCAAGTTGTATCTTGTGAAATCAACCGGGCGTCGATCCATCTTAACCCGGAAAGGCTTACAAATGGGCGTACGAAAGTGTTACGCCAAGCAACTCCGGAGCGGAGTAGAGACCGAGAAGAAACATCGAATAACCCCGGAATTGAAGTGGACCCAAAGGGTGGGCCAGCTGGTTGATGTTGTGAGTTCTTGAAAAACACATCTTGATTCCAGACAACAAGATATGACTTTACCACTTTTGTACTAGCATACTTCGCTATGGATCCATTCGGTACCCAGTAGTCTCTCCACATGCCACGCGGCTCATGGGTCCATCCAAAAGCCCTGCGGGGCTTGAGGCCGCCGAACTCGAAGTACCTCGTAGAATTTCAGGATTCGCCTTCTTGACTTGCTCCACCATAAAGTACTCCTTTCGTGTGGATTACACATAGTAGATTTGCTGCCCGATTCTGTAAACCTCTCTTAAAACATGACTTCTCTCTCTACTTATCTCCTTGTCATAGCGACACAATTAGGAGCGTCAGCGGTTGCTGGACTTGCCGACTTCGACGCAAAAAGTGCGACGAAGAGCACCCCGTCTGCGACGCATGTGGTGCGCTCCATATCGCATGCTACTACCTGTACAGCCAGGATAAGCCAGAATGGATGGATGGCGGGGCCAGACAACAAGAGACTACCCAGCAGCTCAAACGCCAGATCAGAGAACAGGGCCATCGCCGTCACGGAGACCGCGCAACTGGGACCTTAGACGCCCGCGGCTTAGCGTCTGCAGTGTCCACTGACAGACTGGCAGCGCATTCCCCAGAAACAACCGAATATCTGGCCACCCCAGTGTCAGATCTCCCGGCAAACGAGGGTAGTTCACACCGACGCAACAATAATACAGCGGAGCGGATCGCAGATGCTTCCGATCTGCGTACCTGGGGCAATGCGAATGGCGCCATTGATCACACAGGTGAACGCGAAACCGCAGCCTCTGGATGGCCTGACGCTTGCCTCTTCATGTTCCACCTCGAAAATCTCCTTCCGTTCCTATTCCCTTTCTGCCGCCCGCCTCTCGCCAAAGGAGACAGATCCTGGATCCTGGACATCATAATGACGCCCGGTCGTGCGACAGACCGCCCTGTGTTAGAGTTGCTATTTATTCTTTCTCGCTCTGGGGACGACCAACTCCCACGTAGCTTGGGAAAGACTGCTTAAGCAGACGAGGGACGCTTTTGAAACACTCAGACAATCGCTGCAGGTCCTCGATGGGCAGCGAGCCACCGGAGATCATCTATGTGAGGCCGTAAGGATCCTAGCAGGCATCATCCAGTTGCAGCGGTTCGAGATCTCCGTATCAAGCTTTGAGAACTATCTGGTCCACCACAGTGCTGATATTGCTCTCTTCCAACGTGTTCTGGACAGTGCCAATCTCATTGATGCAGCAGGGTCTTGGTCAAGCTTCAACATTGTTATGAGGCGCCTCGGCACGTCCTCGTGGACGCTGACTTCCCAATGTATCCAGGTTCCCAGTGCTGAGCAGGCAGCCTTTCGTTTCTCGGCAGCTCTCGTGATGTTCGACGACATAATTGTCAGCACATCACTACAGGAGAAACCTATTCTCTATGACTACCACCGCAGCCTTCTAAAAGGCACCGACCAATCTGGACCTCCAATCGATCTCGAGGCTGTTTCCGGTTGCCACAACTGGGTGTTACTTCAGATCAGCAAAATTCCCGCGCTCGATGCATGGAAACAAGGATGTAAGAGGGCGGGAACCCTTGATGTTATGGAGCTCGTCCGCCGCGCTGCACCGATCAAAGACTCGTTGGTGACTCAACTTGCAGGTCATGACGCCAGTTTAGTTAGCGCCTCAAACGGAGCAAGCACCATACTGGATGGCTTGTTCACGGCGTATTATCGTGGCGAGCTGCGAGAACAATCCGCGGGCGAGATCTCCTTGGTGACCCGCGTCTGGACCCATGCCGCATTCATCTATCTGTTCGTCGTCGTGTCTGGATGGCAGCCGGCCAGCGCCGATGTGCGTTATCATGTGTCTCGAATAATTGAGCTGTTGACACATCAGATGTCTCCTCCGGCATTGCTACGAACCATGGTGTGGCCATTCTGCGTTGCGGGGTGCCTCGCAGAGCTTGCACAGGAGTCTTGTATGCGCGAAATGGTAGAGGTGCTTAAGCCGGCTAATGTTTTCGGGACAGTCCGCAAGGCCCTCGAGATCATGGAGAATGTGTGGCGGAGTCGCGAGACGGGAGTTGTCGCGACACGCGATCTCGCTATTTGTTTTAGAAGTCAGGGAGAACTAGTGGTACTCATTTAGGAGGATGATTGTGAGAGTTTAGACGGAATGACTCATGGAGTAATTTGGCTTCCTCGGTGGCAGTCGTATTCGAAAGCTCCTTCGGCCTCTCGCCGGCAAACCATCTCAGCATCAACTTGTCTGCAACTCCGATATGTCAGGTATAAAGGCTCTTATTACCATGAGAAATCGAACCAATCGATTGACTCGAGTTAGAGTTACCATTTCATATGGATTTGCGAACGATATTTCTTGGAAAGAGATAACGTGGCCGAGCTCGTATTTGTTAAATGGCGACATAATCCACTCACCATGTGGAATGCCTTGAAGGTCGTCTTTCAACTCCGAGCTTGAAGCCGACATAACCCTTGTCCTTCACAAATGTGGCATGCCACGGCACATTCCTCTCGTGGGCCGCCAGCTGTGTATAGAAGTCTGCGTGGGTGTCCCCCGTCGATAGCCATTCCCTTGTGGGCACCGTCCTCGTAGCGCTCATCGGCGTAAAAGAATCTTCGGATCCCGACATAAATGTCAAATACTAAAAGAATTCAAAGGATAAATCTTTTCGTCTCGTAAAACTCACTGAAAGCCCAGGGTGGAGTACAGGTCGTCGGCAAGCCCGATCCAATACGCCGAGGCGGACTTGCCCATGCCCAGAGTCATTATGATCGGCGAGGGCACAACGCACACGTTCAGGATATTGCCTACGTATATGAGCGTCTTCTTGGTCTCATTCGGCAGCAATGCCCATCCGCTGATAGCCTGTCGGGCGGCCACATAAGGGCTGATGATGTTGACGCTCAAGTTTGACACGATTGTCTCGGCTGGAGTCGAGAACACGGACTCCTTGACAGGTGGCGGCGTACGGACTGCGGCATTGTAGACGACGACACTGGGAGACGCATGGAACTCGTCCCTGACGGCAGCGAATAGTGGGGGGATCGAGTCCGGCTTGGTGAAATCTGCTTTGAGAGAGAGGAAGCCCCCGGCCGTCTTGGAGTTGCTGCCTCTCCTCGACGCAACCACCACCTTGTATCCATTGCTGGCGAATTTCCTGGCTACAGAGGCTCCGATTCAGGGCCGAAACCGAGAATCAATGCAACGGAAGGGGCTCTCATTTTTGTCTAATGCGTTTAACTGAAGTTGAAGCGAAGACGGGTTTTTGCCAGACACTGCCAAGAAGCTCAGACGTTGAACAGAATGAAAGCTCACATCTTCCACCCAGAGCATTTCATACTTTTTATATCTCTTGAGTCTGCTTGGGCCTGTTGTGGTCTCCCGTCTCTCACTGACTCTTCGGTGGTTACGGCTTTTGCGATGATGGATTTTTGATCATCACGTCTCACGAGGTTTAGTATGAACCGTTGAAGACGAATGTTGAGTTGGGAGAAACGCTATTGTGGCTGTCATTACTCGGCATACAGGCCTCAACAGGTCCACAAGACCCACATGCCGCGCGGTATATCGAGTGGATACTTGGTGCATATATAAGCCGCGCGTGACAGGGAAGTCCACCCCTGCGCTGCGTCAAGGCATGCTTCTACAGCGCGCTCTCAAGTTGGACGAAGATACAATTTGTCATACGCCACCCGCTAGAGATGTGTTGAATTACATGAAGTGAACGATTTTGCAAACCCCGAGTGCCGCCGGATGTCACATCTTACATCTCACGGCGGCTTTCAAGATCGCTTCGCTTGTGGTGTGATGCCTGTGACATGGAATATGGGAGAATATAAAACACTCAGATCATGCATAGCAATGTTGGCTTCCCTACCGCGCACCTTGTCTTCTCTTCCTCACTCTTTCCCTCTGCACGCAAACTACCCAGCATGATATCCTTACCAGAGACAGATCAGGCCACACAGCTGGAGGCAGATACGCCATCCCAGACAGCAACGCCGGGCGAAGATAAGGGGTACTTGGGACCAAATAAGTGCCGGAGTTTCGTCTTTCGCTGACACGCAAACCATTAACCAGGTGCTGAGCGCAACGAGCCTTCTGAAAAGATAGGAGACATCCACCCTGCCGATGCACTCTCTGTTCCGCGACAGATATTGTTAGTTGGAACTCTGTGCACAGCAATGTTCACCAACCAGATCGGAATGGGGAACACTCTCACCACTGTCGGCGTCATCGGAGAATCTTTCGGCCTCAACAACCAGGGCCAGCTGTCCTGGCTGATTGCTGGCTATAGTCTGACCACTGGCACATTCATCCTCATTAGCGGCCGACTGGGAGATGAGTTTGGCAACTAGAAGCTGTTTGTTATTGGTATGAGCTGGTACTCGCCGTGGTCTCTCGTCGACGGCCTGTCAGTCTACTCGTCTCATGTTCTGTTCATTTTTGCGCGCGTCTTCCAAGGCATGGGCCCTGCGTTGACCCTGCCCAACGCCCTTGCCATTCTGGGCCAGTCGTACTCGCCAGGGCCGCGCAAAAATTTGGCTTTTGCATGGTTTTGGGGGTCAGCCCCATTTGGTGCCATCGCAGGGTTCTTATCCGGAGGTCTCCTTGCACTGGCTTGGTGGCCGTGGATCTATGGAGCCAGGCCACTGCTCTCGCCAGCGTCGCCGTCTTCGCTGCCTGGACGATCCCTCCTCTGCATGTTCAGCCGAAACGAAATCGACAATTTCTCGAAAGGCTCGACGCCCTAGATATTCCCGGCATGGCAACCGGTATTACGGCTTTGGTGTTGTTCAACTTTGCGTGGAAGCAGGCTGTCGTTGTTGGCTGGCAGGAGCCTTATGTTGGTATTTGCTTGGCCCTTGGTTTCCTTTCGCGGCCATGTTCTTCTTCGTTGAGATTTATCACGCTAGATCTCCGATCCAGCCACTTGCCGCTTTCAATTCCGACATCGCCTTTTGTTTTACATGTACAGCGACGGGTTGGGCTTGCTTTGGTATATGGGTCAGCATCGGCTCTCTGATCCCTTGGAAATAAACAGAAGTTAACCCATTCACAGGTTTTCTATATCGGACAGGTCGCCCTTAACATTGTGGAAAACACAACGCTTCAAATGGCAGCTTGGTTTTCCCTGTGATCCCATCCGGTTTGACCTCAGCCCTTGCCGTGGGTAAGTTGCTCGGCAAGATTCCCGCTTCGTGGATCATGGTCATTGGACAAGTCGCCTATCTCGTTGGATCCATCCTTGCAGCTGCTCGACCGGTGGACTCAATTTATTGGACTTACTGCTTCTTCAGCGTCCTCATCATCACCATTGGTATGGACACCTCCTTCGCTTCAGCCACGATCATCTTTTCAAACGCCGTTCCCCAACGATACCAGGGTATGGGCGCAAGAATAGACATGACCGTGGTCAACTATAGCATATCGCTTGGCCTCGGCTTCGCCGGTACCGTCGAAACCAATATCAACCATGGCGGATTGACCAGGTCTGACATGCTTCTCGGCTACCGTGGTGCTCTGTGGTTTGCAGTTGGATTGGCCGGGCTTAGTTTGGTCCTTGTCTCTTGTTCGTTGAGCACTGGAAGAGCAGATCTAAAGCCTGAGCCCCAAAATTTCTAAGAGTCTAGAGAGCAATAGTATGGATAGCAGGAGCATCTCGAGCTGGGCAGAGAGGCTAACGTGGAAATTAGATTCGCGAGTATCAAATGAGTCTGCCACATGAAGACTACACCATAGTCCATTCCAGAACTACCCTAAGGCACTTTGGTATCTCTCTTGTGCTTTAGTTAGTCGAGTCCGAGTCTTCCTGGCTCTCTTCTTTACTCTTAGATAGACACTTTCATGACAAGGCTTTGCCACAAACACTGGGTCAATGTGACTGATTTCTCCTGGCCTGCCAGCTGGGTTTATTGGGGAGAGCACAAAGAATTAGAAACACCTAGCTTGCTTGTTTTTGTTTCATATAGAGTCATCAGACGCCGGGACACATTTTGCTCACGGTAATTACCGGAGGATCGATCTCCACAACTCTAGTATCTCGTTGATGCAGTCATAATATACGAGATGGCGAAGAATGGCCAAAGGTAAGAACTCCTTCGCACCAAGTTTCCCGTCTCCACAGAATCATTCTAATATTTGTTTCTTTTCCGGGTCAAAGTCGTCGACTAAAGGACCCGAAACCTCCATAGGGGCGCCTCCATAGGAGGGAGGAGAGTCAACTTCCCATTTTCAGACTAGAGCGTCGAGATGACCTTCTTAGCTCGGGAACCAGAGGACTGGTTGTCGCGGTATATTACGAATACCTCCTCCTTACTTAGTAAAGTTAAGGGGAGATATTTCTTACACTTGGACCCTTCTTGCCACTGGCTGCGGATTCTGACTGCTGGTGCTGCTCTTCTTCTAACCCCCCTGATTGCTACCCTCATACCTCGATCGACCGATAGCCTGGTGTATTTGGTTCTCCCTCGACCTTTGCGAGTCGTATAAAACCAACCGTCAGTACTCGACGCCTCCAATGGATATTTTTCAAAGTCGCAGGACAACTGGCAGAAGGGAGGCAAGGCCAGGGCCAGGGGGAGTCTTCTGGTAGCTCTAGTATTATGCACAAAATCACGGATGCAGTAAGCGGGCAGAAGCATGAGGGAGATGGACAGAATCCACGACCTTACGGTATACCCACCAAACAAAGAAAAAAAGCCCCCAAACACACTGCGGGATAGCCATGTCGACATATGAATGAATACCACAGGGGCTTTCGGGTGGTGGCCCCGACCCTGATCCTTACCAACGCATGCCGAACTACTCCGGTAATCTCACGGGACCGTACTACTACGACGCGGAAAACGCCTGACACGGAGAAATGGGCGACAACGACCCTTACGGAAGCAATCGCCAAGGACATGTTGCTGGAGACGAAGATCTGGGACCCTCCTTCTCCTCTCATGGCCCCGGCTTCCAAGGCGGAAGCAAACATCTCTACTCAGGCGGATATTACGACTAGCACAGGGACGACTTTGGTGGCCATCCACCACAGCAGCAGACCAATACCCTTGACTACGGCGGACAGAAAGGCTAGTGGTGGCAACGGCGGTCAACCGGGCTCTTACTATGGACGCGAGGGTTTCGACTGTCCCCATGGCTTCGAGGCCCGCGAGAGCAATTACGGTGCAGGTGCTGGCGGGCACGGCTATGAGCAACACGGATACGACAGTATGGGAACGATTACCATGGAAACAGACCATCTGGACACAACCAGCAAGAATACAATCCGCACGACGGGAGCAACCAGCATGGCTACGAGCAAAGCAGGTACAGACGACATTGAGACGATCGAGATCGATCTCATTTGAACAGAGATGACGGCGTATGAGCCACACTTAGCCTAGTCTTGCGTAGATACCTACATTCCTTCCATGCCAGCCTCTAGTTAAGAGTATTGTCAGTCATTCGCTCTCATCATGTCAATACTTCAACAGTCTATCTGGGACCAGAAACTATTTCTTCAATGTTTGAAGAAACATTCTGCTGATTGAATCGCGGGACTGTGAATACGATGAGGAGAAAGACAATCTCGAATTATCGATGCAAACTGCAGATAGTGCTCAAGGTTGTCCTTGACGATGCCGTAGTCAACTTCGATGTGAACGGATGCGATCACTTTCGAGTCGCTCAATCGGGAGAGACATGAACCTCGAAACAATCTACAACGCCTTTAGAGAGTGATGATATCCTAATTGATCTCATCGGCATTGACGCCCTGAGCATCGGCTTCCATGGCGGTGCGGGCAGCCCGCCACGACCAGTGGGACCGCCGAATATAGAATGATAGCCGTGATAATAATGGCGACAGCTAGGTTGTGAAAGCTTCGGGGGCAATCGGTCAGTCAGACGAACAGGCCCGAAGCGATGACACCGATTTTGCCCACAGCGTCACCGAGAACGTGCAAGAATACTCCTTTCATGTTCAGATTCTGACTTTTTGCCATTTCCTGTACTGCCGTCGCTTTGCATGTGTATAGGTAGATCCACAAGTTCAGTCCGTTCTTCAGACGGAGACGGAATCGATGGGTTCGTGAGGTGTGGTTGGATTTCGGGGCCATGCCTACTATTTCTACGGATTGCGTGTGATTGACTGGCTTGTAATGACATCCGGGCGCAAGATCGTGGGGTGGACCGACATCTGTGTCAAGGTCGGAGCCCGTCTGCACTCACGTGCGTGTTGTGATGGCTCTTGTATAATTGTTCGTTGCTGATCTGGTAAGCCGTAGAGCTCAGGTTTCTCATGCCACTGTAAGAGAACCATGCCGAGAAAATTCGAAGCGAGGCCATTGCAGCCGACCACGAGAATCATTATCGAGTTGGAAACTTCTTGGGGTTCTGCGAAGCGTTGAATAGCCTCGAGGAGGATCGGCATGTAGAGAGCGATGGGAAATACTCCGTTGATCGGCGCATCGAGTGTCTCAGCGAGTTACTAGAAACACGGTGTCTTAGTTCTGTCACAACTTTGGAGACACTAAGCGCAAGAATATATTCTGCATGTGCAAGCAAATATGAGAGGGCTCGCGGGTCGTTGCGACTCGGATAGCTTAGAGGCTGACCTGCAATGACAAAATGTCGTTGAACTGATAAGCGAGGAAGGGAGAGATCCCTGAGACAGCTAGGTGGGAAGAGATACCAGGTGGAAGGCATCGGCGACGAGTGCAAGGGAACGGACGCTGAGGCCTGACAAAATTTGGCCAGCTAGTCGAGCAGAAGAACTGATCAAAACTGTGAGCTCGTCCACATAAACCCCGCCAAAAAGAAGAGGAGATCAATGGCGAGGAGCAACATGAGCTTGGTTGGCTAGACGGACGCAGAGCCTTCTGAATACCGGGGAAACGAGCAGTACTGAGGATATGCGACCGACAGAAGCTAGAGAGGACAAAGAGAAAATGCTGCAGCTGCTCAGAAGAAATTTGCAATTCTCTCAGAAGCAAGGATCGCGGATCGTACAGTTGAAACAAATAATTGACATCGAGTCGCAGCTAGTTCGTTGGCCGCAGGCTCGCGAGTTTCCAGGCTCGCAAAACTTGCCGGTGGTTTTCCGTGCTTGCCCAGCAAAGGCCAGAATTAATTAACAGTTGTCATTTTGTTGCCTTGGCCCTAAGGATTTGCCGCGTATCACTCATGTCTGTTCGGCGAAAAGAAGTGCATCCGGTGGCTTAGAGCATCGCTTGCACTTGTCCCCGTGCATCTTCTGGTCATCGGTGTCATCATTCGGTAGATTGTGCCTGTGCAACACTCGTTCTCGTCGATTATAAGCCATTTAGCCAGCAGTATTGGTGCAATTTTCGAGTGCAGTGCCAAGTGCCAAAGTGGCTGCGGTTGAAATTGCCCAGTCGGGTCTAGATCCGTAGCGCAAGTACAGATTGTCAATGCCAACTCACCGTGTCCGAGAACCCGTGATAAGGCCTTCGTTTGTAACATCACCCCATCCAGTACCATCAACACCAACCTTGTTGTTTCCCATTGCCCATTTCCAAACCAAAAAATGGAGAACCTCACAGTCTGCGAGCAGATTGTCATGACCTCCACCTGCGTTGCGAAGCCTACCGATGGCCCCAATGATTGCTGCGGGAGTCCGGTGGCGAGGCTTCCGACATCGGCTCACGGCGCTTCTTGTTGTGCTTCGACAAGCTCGGCGGCAGCAGTATCGAGAGTTGACGGAGACGTCATAGATCAGTGTAGCGAGGACGATAGATGCAATGGTAAATGATCCAGTATCCCACTCGGAAGTTTTGCTGATGAAGATTCGAAGAAAATTGCATCAAAACTGCCGCCGCCATTGAGTGCTCCGTGGCGTGCGCCAATCAGCAGGAGTGTTCCAGCGTAACAAACAACGTCGAGCCCGACGAAGAGACCGCTCGCCAAGAGAGCTGCGGCCATGATCATGGCCGACACCATGGTCATGCCGAAGAACCCAAGACGAGCAAACACATCCACATCAGCGCAGCTCACGAGCACGCTCATGGCGACGACGGCACCCATCTTGATGAGCCTTGCAACATCCACCTTAAAGCAGCCATGGAGAAATATGCAACATACCTTGAGTCAGCTCAGTGTATTTGTCGAAGCATTCTTTCTTCAGCTAGGCAAATTGAGTCCTGCCGCCCCCCGCCTCCCGCCAGTAACGTCTCCGCGTTCAGCACTTCCCATAGCCATCATCTCAACATGAAAGAGCACGGGTCTATCTTGTCTCGCCGCCGTTTCAAAAAGGCGCCAGAGGAGTTGGTACCAACACAACCCGAGATAAATTGCTGTGGTAGTCACGAAAGCCTTGATAAGATTGAATTTGAGACTGCGACCGCTCCCAAAAAGACTTCGATAGACATCGAAAAGGCAGCAGGACTGTCACACATTCTTCTGAACGTCACTGGAATGGACTGCTCTGGCTGCGCGAATAATCTGACGCGAGCACTTCGGGCCGCGGTCGGGATCAAAGACGTCAAGGTTACCTTCATCGGTGGAGTTGCTGAATTCCGCCTCGACACCGAAATCAATACCCTCGACAACGTAATCCGCAGCGCCCATAAGGCCACCGGATATAAGTTGACACCATTCTCCTCCGATACCCAGAGTATCGACGTCATTATGAGTGCGGCGGAAGCAAACAAGTTTCGAGACAACCTACCTCATGGTGTCGAATGCTGCGAGAAGCTTTCCAAGACAACATATGAAATCAGCTATGATCCATGCGTGATTGGTGCCAGAGACTTGCTCGGTGGTATTGACGGTCAACTTGCTCCTGCCCGGAGCGACTCTTACCTTGACCAAGGGAAGCGCAGGCTCATTCGAGTGTTTGCTTTGACCACCGCAGCCTTTATCCTTACAACTCCAGTTGTTGTCCTCGAATGGGGCCGTCCTTCCGGTGTTTCCGAGCATACCACTCTGATCGTCGCCGTGATCCTTGCCACGCTGGTTCAAGCGATTGCCATTTCCGAGTTCTACATTCCTGCCATATCTTCCTTGATATACAATAGAGTTGTAGAAATGGACATGCTTGTGGTCATCAGCATTACAGCCGCATATGTTTATTCTATCGTTGCGACTGGTCTCTCCTTCGGAGGCGTTGACCTGGAGACCAAACCATTTTTCGAGACAAGTACGATGTTGATCACATTGATCCTGCTTGGTCGACTCCTTGCGGCCTGGGCTCGTAAACGAGCAGTGAAGGCGGTGTCGTTGAGATCCCTCCAAACATCGAGGGCCACGCTCATCGACCAGACCACAGACCAAGCTATTGAGATTGACGCCCGATTGCTTCAATACGGAGACAGGATCGCAATTCTGCCGCATTCCCGGATCGTGACCGATGCTGATGTACTTGGAGGAGCGAGTGAAGTAGATGAGTCAATGCTCACGGGCGAGAGTATGCCGGTTTTCAAAACCGCTGGAAACTCTGTCGTGTCAGGTACAATCAATGGCGGCGGAAGATTGACAGCCCGGGTATCCCGCCTGCCAGGGAGGAATACCATTACTGATATTGCCAACTTGGTGGAACAAGCTCAGAGCTTCAAACCCCGCGTCCAGGACTTGGCTGACAGGGTAGCCGGATATTTCATCCCGATTGTATGCACGGCAGCTCTCATTGTCTTCACGGTGTGGGTCTTAGTTGCACTAAAGGTCCGAAAGCAATCCGCAGGCGACGCCATCGGAACTGCTATAGGCTATGGTATTGCTGTGATGGCCATCTCTTGCCCCTGTGCGTTAGGGTTAGCAGTTCCGATGGTTCTCGTGGTCGCTGGAGGGGTGGCTGCTCGTGGAGGCGTGATTATCAAAACTGCAGATATCATCCAACGCGGATTCAAGGTCACCGATGTGGTTTTTGACAAGACAGGAACGCTCACTGAGGCTAGCCTCGAAGTCGTGCAAGAGTTGATCTTTCCCACAGACAAATTTGGCGAAAACACCATGCTCTCTTTGATCATGACAATGGTGAGGAGCAACAAACATCCAGTGTCCGAAGCCGTGGCAAAGGCGCTGAATGCACGGGAAATACGAGGCGTCGAGATGGAGGGACCAGCATCCATTCCTGGCTGCGGAGTTGAAGCGGAATGGCAGGGAGTGGTGGTCCGCGCGGGTAACGCAAAGTGGCTCAAGATCAGCGAGACATCTCCAATCATCGACTTCGCAGCCCAAGGATTGACGATGCTCTGTGTCATGGTCGACGGCGAACTTGGGGCAATATTCGGTCTCAAGTCTCAGCTTCGTGAAGGAGCGACTGCCGTCATTCGAGAGCTCCATCGACGCAAGATCGCCGTCCACATTGTGAGTGGCGATGGGCGCAGGGTCGTGGAGGGCGTAGCCGCCGACCTTGACATTCCTATGGAGAATGTCGCTGCAGAAAGAACTCCGGCACAGAAGCAGGAGTATGTTCGCCAACTCATGGACGCTGGAAAGACCACATTGTTCTGTGGAGACGGGACAAATGACGCCGTCGCGGTGGCCCAAGCCGATGTTGGAGTTCAAATTGAATCGTCATCGGATGTCACGCGTGCCACGGCGGATGTTGTCCTTCTTCGCAATCTTGACGGCGTGGTCAATTTGCTGGACGTGTCGAAGGCCGCATTCCGACGCATCGCCTTCAACTTCGTCTGGTCGGCCGTATACAACGTGTTCGCCATCCTACTCGCAGCAGGAGCTTTTGTCAAAGTTCGCATTCCCCCTGTCTATGCAGGTCTCGGAGAGATGGTCAGTGTGTTGCCGGTCATCGTTGCAGCGTTGACGCAGCCGCAGGTGAAGGCCAGGAACTGAGTTGCCGTTCGGTGGAAAGGCTTCAGGAAAGCGTTCATTTAAACGAGAAATCTCGTGGTGATTACTCTTTCCGACCACATGTCACTCTTTCCATTGAAGAGGGTTATGCCCAGTGCGATCGTGATTTCGTAGATTTCGAGAAAACAGCCTCTGGGGATCAAGGCGACTCATTCTTTTCTGCGTCCAAACCAACCGTGGTCGGAGCACCAAAATATTTTCTCAACCAACTTCTGGTGTAATAACGAAGTACGGAACAATAGGTGTGGATGAGCAAGCACCTTGTATGCCAAGACCAAATTGAGGACCTTAAAAAGTGAAAGCGCTGGTTGCGCCATTGGACAATCTGTCTAACTAGATTTGGACTAAGTAGAGGCATGCCATTGGATGGCTCAGCCACTCAAAAGCGGCGACTTCTCAGAGCTGCACAGCCACAGCTGGAAGCTATATCCGATATCTCCGAACAAATATCAATCGAGGAATGAATTCCCTTCGATTTACCCTGATATTTCAACAGAATGTTGGTTGTACAGACCACTCCATATGACTTCTTTCTCCACGCAACACAGTTCAGGGCTCTGGGCCACTGGACTGCGATGCAAGTTGTCTTTTTTCCTCTCTCATCTCCTGCGATACCCCCTGTACTCCTTCTGCAGAAGCCGATGATGCAGAAACATGCTTTTGCTCACCTTCCTGACTTCCAGCATTTCTTTTCCGCCGCCGGAAGAAACGTGTATACCTCTCTCGCTCCTCTCTTCTCGCAGCCGAATGCGCTTTGTGCATTCTCTTCGTTTCTGCAATCCGCTCCAGCTTTTCGACTTGGGCCTTTGCGTGGCGCAGATCTCTTTGGATCTCTTCCTCCGAAGCCACTTTATACCGCAGCCTCAGGATCACCGCCGCGAGAATGACAATGACAATCTGGACTATGAATTGCCATTGGCCCACAGCCTGGACTTGCTCGTTCGGCTCGCCATCTGAATGGATATACGATTCAATCCAGATAATGAAAGCAACAATGATCAGGGGTCCTAAGACCATGACTCCGAGCAGAACACAAAGGGTTAGAACGTCGATGACGAAATGCGAGACGGGATGCTTGTGTATTCTCGTGACTTTGGCTGCGTGATGGAATCTAACGTTCCGTATCGATGCGAAAAACGGCGTTGGATGCCGCAGAAAACACTTTGTGTTCGACCAACCGGCTCTTATGTCAGCCTTGAAAGCACCAAAGATCTCCTTCCGCCGAAACCAGAGCTGAAATGGGCGATGGATAGGCACCCTCGAAGTGCAAAGATTCAATCTCCCGACGACCAGAAGAAATAATTGTGCGGCAGTGAAGCCGGCAATTGCGGTATAAACGAGGGGTTGAAATTCATCGCCTTCCCACATATTCCAGGTATGCAGACTCCTGCCAGGTGCATCAGTACTGACTACTGTCGCCCTTAGCCGTGTTGACTCTCGTAGGATCTGGGAGGTGTTGAAGCATGGATAGAAACAATTTGTTGAAAGATTCAACCATCGTTCGTTGTCGATCACTGACGGTCCAAACAGATCCCAGACGGTTGAATTCCAAGACCCAGCCCAGTATTGATCGTCCCAGCCGCTGCTTTGCATGGTGTTGCCATCCATGATGCCTGAATAACAAAAGCGATATTGAGGGGATCCAACATTTAGAGTCGGCCAAAGGACCAGGACTGATATTGAGCCTGCAAGCATAATCACATTCCAGATGAAGATCAGCAGATGGAGAATTCGACTTGTTCGAGCGGTGCTTGACCAACATTGCAGCGGCAAGCCCACGAGGTACGCGGTGATCACAATGCAAGTGACTGCATCAATGTCGAGCTCCAAGTAGTCAGGCTGCACAGGAACATTGGTGGTGCTCGTCACAAGTGCTTGCAAGTCATTTGAGATCCCTGTCAGGTTTCCTGGATCCAGATAGGCTATCGTGACATTCTCGGCAGGAGGCAGGCCAAGATGAGCGGAAAGCAGGATAAATGCTTCAAGTGAAGCGGTGGCGGCATATGAGACTGCGGCTCCGAAGATGATATGGGCGACCCAACCATGGCTAGGCGTGATGAAACTCAAGGCCAGGAGGACATAGTAAAGATATCGTGGAGTCGGCGCGTATATATCGCTGATCGGGTAATAACAGGTAACCTCTTGTGCAATGACGGGTTGATCGAACGAGATGTTGGTTATTGCCATTCCTGGAGGGAGGGATTCCGGTCGTCGAATAGGCAGAGGTAGTGGCAGGAGCGTTCACTGGTATCGATGAAGCCTCTTCTCTCCCCCAAACAGCGTGGCTTTAGTTTCTACACCGAGACACGGTGTGTTGACAGTCGCAAATGCGATTCTCAGACTACCGCATTACATTTGAGAATTGAGAAGATCATGGAGAGAATCACATGCTCTCAACCACTTATTTAACTTTTCCCTCCTTGTCTGTCCGGAGATTCCAGTTGGATACCAGCTGTGACTTATTGACCGAAACTCAGGTTAGACTTTCCCTGTTTAGCTGTTCGTATCGGGAGGTCTTGCGAGCTGAACACCAGCAAGAGACTGAAGTATGACAAGAATGAGCAGGCCACGATTTGATTGAGTAACGCTGATGCTCGGGCAGATCTGGATAGTGATGACCTGGGATTGTGAAGTCACCCTTGTATGACTAGAAGCCCAAACCACTTGCTCGCTGGTATATAACTATTTGAAGCCATCCACTTTGGTAACATGTCTCAGCCCTTTTCTCTCTCCGTTGTTACATTAACTCCTTCGCCCCCAAATCTGGGCCTATTCAGACCCCGTATGGAGTACGTGACTATATCGCCTAGTGGCAGTAGCTGGCTACGCCGACGATACCGCGATCTCGCAATCTCAAATGCGTACTGTTGGGCTAGCCGAGCGCGCCTGCCCACCGCTACAGGGCGGAATTCTCTGACTGGAGGCCAGGCGCTTCTCAAAGTCGCCGTAGTCCTCATAATGTGTGTCTCCGTGTTTTGGTGGAATCCTCGACCAAAGGATAACCGCAGGAATGGGTTTCGGAGCCGTCTAGCTTTGCCAAACATCTTTTTTGAAGGTCCCAAGGCCGAATAACGAATAAAGCACAAGGAGCAGCGCAACTTTGTGCACAGAACGATAGTGAAATTTGCATTCGCCGGCGGAACGAGCAGTAAGCTCTCCAATAGCCTAAGATTGTTTTCCAGGTTCGCTGATGTTCATGCAGATGTTGCTCTGGAGATCGATGCTCTCGTCTTTGCTAAGAAGCATGAGCTTCCACTGTCGTCCAGAAAGGTGTCAACTGTTCCGGTTTTGCTTTACACCCGAATGTGTTGGGTTGACATGATCAGGTCGTTTGCATCAATGACCTGAGGCCAGGCGTGACGTGGACCGAAGACTGACTACCGCGGCGTTGAAGAACTGGCGGCAATTCTTTAAGGCGTCCAAACAGTACCGCCATTCGTCACGACTCAGCAGGATCCAGGGAGTGTTTCTCAGCAGAACCTCATCGATGCCGCCATACAGGCTCGAGTGAAGCGCGGTACCCCGATCGAATGGGCTACGTGAGTTCGGATTACCGTGTTCATAAGCACCTCCAACTCCCTCGAGACATTAAAGATCGAGCTTCGACTGTCAGGATTGGTACGCCTGGAAGGTGAACGTCCGCGAATACCTACGAGAATTGAACAAATACAAGAAGGCGATAATGTCCATATCTTAAGCTGTCAAATTGGAAACTCGAAGCATGGCTCTGGCCATTGGAATAGTCGCTGTTCCTTCCGGGACTGTTTCCGAGCGATTGCAGCTCTTCCTATGGATCTGGGAAAGACTTCCGTCTGTGTAAAACCCAGATCAACGTCAACAGCCGTCGTGCTCTGGCTTTAGATGAGGGGGACGACAACTGCATTACCCTCATAACGGTGCACCGTCTCGCAAATATCGTAGCACGCGCTGTCGACTATGAATAAGAGTGGCCTATTGTCGGTGGGTCCAAAGGCAGCGAAATCTCCATCGGGCTATTGCTCGTTCTCGGCAAGAATATTCGTGTTGCGTCCTCGTGTGCTTTCTCGCATGTTCAAATCTGATCAGAAAAGGGAACCCTTCCGCATCGAGAGGCTGAAGGCCAACGGTTACCCACGCGGCTATTGCGACTGAGCACGCCACGGCCCTGCCACAGAAGCTAGTTTCGGGGATGCTGTTGAGTACCTTGACTAGTGCGTTGAAGGTTGGAGATGAGTGCAATCGTCTGCTACCAGACTGTCAGTTCACCCAAGCGGAGGAGTTGCTGACCAGAGCCTGGTGTGATACCGTAGACTTTCTGGCCGCCTGGAAATCGAGAAAGAGTGACCGAGGAGGTATTGTGGCCTCGGCAAGGCTACATGAAGGGGTTAGGCCAATGAATGTCATCTTGAACTATAAGGAGCAGAATATGGCACTTCCTGGAACGGAGACGGTCGAGCATTCGGTTTATATCAAGCCAAATGTAACCTGCAATGAACCTGACCTGATATCGCTCGAAATATCGCCTAGCGCTTTCTACACGTTTGAGCACACTGCCAATCAAGTCCATTACCCATCAGTGGTGTCCCAACTTGCTCCTCTGTTATGCTCAGAGCTCAAGGCGGCCATGGAGAATGCTATCGAACAGAGTCATGTCAACGCCTTGTAGGTCCCAATCGTCTGTAAATTCGTCTACTTCCGGGTCGAGGCGCGTGTGGGGTCCGCCGCCGTCATTGAGGTCGAGGAAACCGCCATCTTTTGCAGTAGATACGGAATAATGCCGTAGAGACATAGAATCTAAGAGTGAAGGGTGAGCATGCCACCCTGGGATGGCCGACTCATCGCCAGGAGTGCAAGCCGTGGCAGGAATTGGTGGCCCAGGCGATGAGCTTTCGTGCCCCTCTAGTTCTTCGCATGACCTAGCAGGGTTCAACGGTACAGTCGGACCGGTAACAGATACCCCTGGCATCGTTTCCTCCATAGACGGCACTTGTGCCGTTGATGGAGACTTCTCAATCGCGCGACGCGTAATTTGGATCGTTCCAACATGTGGAAGGGAAATACGCAACCCACTGTCGGTTTCGCTGACTTTTCCATGGCACTCAAGCTCGTCCTCACTGCGCGCAGCCGAGGCATAGGTGTAGTAGCTTCCGCCGTGTGCGGCATCATCCTCGATCAGGAGTAAATGACGCAGAATGGTGTGAATCCTGGTGGTTGCCACATCATTGGATGTGGGCTCCATTAATTCGAGAGTCCTCTCTATCATGCCGCGGTCACCCATGCGTTGGTGCGCGAGAAGGTATGTCGTCATAGAGTTTCTCTGGCCGGCAGCATGGGTGTTGATATGCGCCAGGCATATTGTCACGCTTGCAATGAAGGCGAGAAACAAGATTCCGCGGTAGCAGCGGCTGGTCTGGCTGCGAAAAGAGACGAAGCGTGTCAATATCTCGCGGTTAGCGTTGACGGCTGCGACGCAGTTATAAGGGTTTTGATCAGCCCGGATCACGTATGGAAGGTGAAGGCGGGCCATAACGTGAAAGTGGGCAAATTGACACATCAGACGATCCACCTCTTCCAAGGCATCCCAGGTTTCGGCACGGGTGGCTGTAAGCTCCGGAACCAGCCACCACCGACTTGGCATGAAGGCCGCAGCTTTCTGTAGTAACTTGTCGATGTCTTGAGTGAAATTGCTGTCAATCATATCGGCTTCTTTGCGTTGCAGAATGCGGCCAGCTGCGACGCAGTCAATACGCCGCAAGCATTCGACGGGCGGGCAGTCTTTGAGCGCCTCAGGGCTTGCGAAACTGTCATCAAGTGAACCTTGTGGCAGGCCTAACAATAACGATAGATAGCGGTCCAAGCGGACGAGACGGAACCACAATTGCTCTGGCTTAATTCGGAGCCGCGTTTCAGGCTTCAGAAAAGCTGGTGCTAATGATTTCCCGCGGTGAAGGCCCATCATTTCCGCCAGTGCAATTCCACGGCGAACAGAAAGTAATGAAAGGCGAAGATTACCTGCCTCGTTGTGGTAGAGGCTCTCCAGCATGATACATTCAATACCCTCGATTGAGTATATCACTTCTTCATTACAAGTAACGATATGGGCCGTTTCGACAGCATGGACCATGATGCTGTGGTAATCCACCAAAAGGCTGTTGAGGTTATGCACAGAAGTCGGCAGGATCGCTTGCAGGTATTTGGCTAGACTCAAGAGCTTCCACGCGAGCAGGACAGGGTGAGAATCTTGCGGATGTAGTTGTAATATCTCTCGTGCTGACGGAACGCCTTCTGACGAGCAGGCGATTCCATGAAGAAACTTTGAGGCTTCAACTGGAACTTCAAGGATAAGATCGAGATCACGTTGACTGGGCCATGCGGACATCAATATGTGAGATAGTTCTTTCCGCCCTCGGGTATTCTGCCTTGGGTCTGTGAGTCTGATGGCCCAAGGCTGTTTCATCGTTGGCTCGGAGGTGACATGATACTGCAGATAATGCTATGACCTTGTGAGAATAGACAGGCTATCGAACCAGAACGAACTTACCAAGGTATCGTCGCCGTCACTACCCCGCTGCGAAGAGTAGCTGACTCTGCAAGGTACAGAGTTCACGACACCAGAACTACTTATCGAAAGGGGGGATTTCCTGTTGAGACCTTCCTGCTGCAGAGGCTGGCGAGCAGAGTTGTCTGAGAAACCATGAGGCCCAACGCTGTCAATCAACTTCTCCATTAGCGTCTCCAGTCGACTCAGTCTTTCCTCGACGCTCCGTTTAGGTCCAGGCTCATCTGGAAGCTCCTGGCTGATGCACGATGTTCCCCGGCGCGAACATCCGTCACAGATATTAGCCATTGGGGATGTGAATGTGCACCGTATCTTCCGGCGCTTGCACTCCCAACAACTCTGCGTGCCTTTCCGCACTTTCCTTCTTTTCGGTTGGCGCAGCGTTGACTCTTGTTCTTGGGACATGTCGTTCGCTTTCTTGCCTCAATTGCTCCTCTCCAAGATTCGCAAAAGAGAGTTGCACTGCTGCGAATGCCGTGAGTGAAATTGAAGCTTGCACAATGAACGCACAAAACTTCCACCGACCGCGGCGGTCGAACAGCCTTGGCAACGGCGGATGGAGCAATGCTCCGGGGTGAGGGACGAACTAAGGCTTGCATTAACTTTTCTGGTAGTATCTCTCTGAATATTACCATCAAAAGGTATACCGGTAGTATCAACCCACGCTAAATATCCTGGCAGATCGTTATGGAGGAACGGGTGCTGGACAGGGCGGTTCTTTTTCTCCATCGCCCACTGCGAACCAGAGTGGGCTGTGACAACCCCGGGATTGTGCATGAGAGTCTCGAGTATGTCCCGACCCTGGTACAATTATAATTATGGCGATAGGAAGGAGGACTGGAAAAAACCTTCATGTTTGCTATTGTGGCGCTAGCTTGGGCGAGCTGTCATCCAGCTGAAGCCAGCTCTTGCTTTCCGTGTGTATATTCTTTCTCTCCCTTCCCATAAATGTAATCACAGGTGTATCAGGTGCTCTTCTCTTAGAATGTGGTGCAAATACGCCCCTTGTGTAACCTCGGAGGCTTGTTCTTGCTTGTTTCAAAGTCTACCCCTTATGCAGCATCAGGAAGTTGCACAGTGGCTCTTAGTGCCAGAGAGCAGGAATCCTGTATCCACAAAGCCAGGTTATGAACGCTTTCCAAAGGCGGCTCCTGATGGAAAACTCAGGGGAGTCGCGACTCCACCTTGCATGGCCAACGTCCTTTTTGGATCCCACTCTTATTTGCTTTAATTACCAGGGCGTCTAGGGCGGGAATGGAGATTCAATATGGGGAAGTGGCCGCTGCTTTGGGTCGACACCGCAAGTTTTGAATGAGCGACGAACTTGTAGCGAAAACGCGCGTTGTCGATGTTTGATCTCCAAATTACCTCCTTCTCTTCCTATTGAGGAGGCAGACCAATGCGATGCCATCGAAGTCAGTGATAATTTATATCATGTCTTTTGCTGTTTTAGTGTTTCACTACCTTAGCTTGCGTTTCTTTCATACCCACTTTTGCCTGCTTGTCGACATATCTGTCTCATGTCAGGTATGTAGTGGCATTAATTACTCGAGGTCCGATCGCGTCCGGACTGCAGGGTCCCCTTCCATCACTCGATGCTACACACACAAGGGCGACGGGCATCCGACTCCTTACACGACGACATGTACGACGACATGGACAGCGTCATGCACTACCTGCAACACGACTCTAACCTCGACTTCGACTTTCTTTCTGGCGGGGCCAACCAGCATCAGCACAATTACAGCGACAACAACGGCCACCATCACGGCTCAGGCCTCCACATTGATGGACACAAGATTAGTACCACAACAGATACTACGTCGTCAGCATTGGTAGTAAAGTTGTCTTGGCATGAGCTTTTCTTGGTACAGAAATCGAACGTTGTTCTCTTGTTCAAGGTCAACATGATCAGCCGGTGCTCAAGCTCCTGACTCATGGCACATTGTCGTCTGGGCATGCGGGGGCGTGCTTACCATCTCCGGCCAATTCGCTTCTCCCGGAGGCGCGGTAAGAGTTGGCTCAAGACATGGTTTGGGGTGCTTGTTGCATTACCATGCGCGGACATTTCCATCTCCCACTATTTCCCCAGCTTACACCACTACAAATAAACACAAGAGTGTTTGAGCTAGCAATCGACAAAGGCTATGCCCACAGATGAATAAGTACAGACTGCTTCAATCCCGACCACGAATACGATATCAACCGGTACTACGGCGATCGTTCCAACGACAGCAGTGTGCGTGGTGACACGGCCAGAGACCCGTAATTATAGTTTATACTGATTCCTAAAAGATTCATTCCCGTTCAGACTAGTTTGCTAGGATCAGGATATTCTGGCAGCGGCGGTGAAGATCTTTTTGATGGTCTGGATGCTAAGCGTAGCGTAGATGTGGATCTGAGCCTCGAAAACAGAACGTTAGGCGCAGTTGCCACTAAGCAAGAGCAAGAAAACTTATCCTCAAGGCGTAACATGCTATAGTGATAGCACAGCCAGGGCGAAATATCATCAACGACCTTGACAACAACCTCTACCATTCAACTATTGATTACCGTTACAATGACGTCCATTTCATCCACAGTTATCGATCCATCCGTACGTATCTTATTTAGACTAGAAACCCAAAACCTGCCGGCTGTACTCGCCGAAAGCAATCACGTAAAGTCCTCGACGGGTTATGGTTAATGAACTGCTAAATTGCTAAGTCAACTTCTGGCGACAGGAAGCTGCAAAGTTCCGGCGCTGGCAATTCTCGGCTAAGCAAATGCTTGTCACCATCGCTATGCTGATGTCGCAACCACCTCTACCATTGACTGGAGCGCTCAGCAGCTGATATGTCATCAGTCTGGACTACCTGGCTATTGGCATTTTTACTTCACCATTGGCTGCCCTAATGATATCAGTACATGCTGTCATCATTGGCTTATAGGCAACAGCTACCACCACAACGATAATGACCACGACTACCACCATATTGGTGCGTCCATTGCATGGCAAATCCTTCTCCAGACTTCGAGACACGCTGAAGGTTTCAGAAACCGACTACGGAGACTGCTACTACATCGACCATGGATTTCACTTCGACGACGCGTCCTTACGCCGCGTGCGTCACCAGTGATTTTGCCGATAATTAGAGATCGAACACCCAACACCGCCACCATTTATACCATCGTATTACAGAGCAAAAAGATAGAAATGACGTACGCTAAATATATGAACGTTAGGCTGCTGAGTGGCAATTCTGAGATATTCTTGCATAGTCCAGATTTTACCGACACTGCTAGCAACAATTGCTTCTTCGCTGCAGGCGATCCTTGCTTGCCCTTTGCAGACGGACAACTCATGGATCGCTATCCCAGGAACCTCAAGTTTTAGACGGGTTATAGGCAACTCTTTCTGTAGTGTATTCGACACCGTGAAATAGGATTGCCAATTTTTGACCCGATGCCACCTCCTGTTTGGTTGGTGTTGTGTCGTGCCGTTCGTGGGACTTCAACACACCAGGTTGACTTGATTTCCTACGTTTTTACCAGCTTTGCATGACTTCACAGTCCTGATTCGCCTCCCCTCATCTTTCTCTTCCGCTTACATCCCCTTAAATCTACCTCTGTCTCCAGCCTCACCCCCGGCTCGGGCCAGCAGGCTGAGCGCAGTTGCAATAGGAGGGAGGGCCATGCGTTCGGAAGAGCTTTCGACATGGTTTTGGGTGGGGTTGTAGGCCAGTAAAGTTTGTGCTTGAGTCTGTCGTGCCTCTGATTTCACCTGTTTCGGGATTCTTAGTACCGGAGCTATTGCGTTATGGATGAGTGATTCGGATTTGTTGCAGCCGAGGCACCAGGCTGTATGGGAGGATCGGGACCTGAAGCTTGGCTGGAAAAGGAAGTCCAAAATTTTGGACTTCCCATTCAGGCTCACTTTCTCTTTCGCAATTCTATTGGCGGATCCATTGCGCTCGTAGAAGGCGCAGAGAGGTTATTCCCCTCTTCCAACGTAGCGGAAGTGGAAGATATGCGTCGCGGTCGACGTTGAAGTAGAGTAATGATGACAAGCATGGCCGGGGTGTTGCTGCCGCAACGCCAAATGATGGAGATGATTGACTCTGTAGACAGTGTCATAGGACTTGCCTGAGGCGACTTGGTGGAAAGAATCTGGGGATGGGACCGGGTAGACAGGAGTGAAGGAACCGGAGTTGATCGACCTCATGATCGGGTCATTCATGGCTGTTTTATACCTATCATCTCGGTATAGAAGCCTCAAACCAAAATTCTGGATACAATTTTGGAAGGGTGGTCTGTCTTATCGGGGCACATGAGGCTGAAGGCCCTTTTGTTTTAGCGAGAGCGTGTTGGCCCCCTACGGCCCAAAATCTGCCTCTTGCCAAAATTCTGGTAAGGCCCAAAACTTTGGAAAGAGCCAATGAGATTTGTCCTTGGCATGCGCTATTTTCGCCTCGATCGCGACCACGTCGAGGACGGCGACCAGCCCAAACCAGCCCCAGGCAGCCTCAGCAGGACCCATGAAATCCAAGGATTGCTTAAAACTCTTGATCGAAGATGCTTTGATATCTTTAAGCCGATTCTACTTCAATTTCAGCGGATACTTCTACCTACTGAATCCTGGGCTGTATATTGGATGGTATTCGTCTATGGCTGACGGAGATGCACTCATCGTCGAGCATTATAAAAAGATGAGAGGAATATGGATTGAAGGCCGTGTGTTATTGAAACTCTCGGTGCATCCCCTTACGTATGAATGGAATCTCCAGGAAACGAAGACGGCGTGGTGGAAAATGCAGGAACCTTTTTCAACCACCTCGACTCACTCTGTGGCGGATTTGAGTAGATGTCTTGACGGTATTCCCGATATTTCTCTTAACAGCATAATTACGAGACCAAAGGATAAGTTTATATCCATTTTACTAGCACTCGATGATCTCCTCGTTTTGGCTGTATCTGACCCAGACGATGTTATTGTACGGAAGCAGTCGCCAGTAAATACATGTGAGATGTGTTGAGATACCATATTCCAGTGGGCGCCTAACCTCGGAAAGATGATATTGGCACAACTGAAATTCATGTGCAGGCCGTATTTGCTTGAACGGTCGCTGTGCTGACATAGGCATTTACGTGTTCACCCTCTCATGTGCAAGTTTCAATACGAACGCCCCAGGCGATCCGGCCACAGTAACATCGATGTCAACCACTAGCTGTGTTTGTATTTTCGATAACTGGGAGAGATCGGACTGCCTTTACTTTCATCGGTTTTGCATCACTCCTCTCTCCGGGGGCATACCGCATTGCTACTAATATATGTACCGAAATTGCGGATTCTATCACAATATCAGCATTCGTTGAAACTTCATCGCCCACCTCGAATCAATATTATACCTTTTTGTCTGTCAAATCATCTTCATAGGCATGTTCGAAGGCCTCGGCGATGCCTGCTTTATCACGACGTCTGTTATCCCAGACACAGACGAATCGATATATCAAGCTTAGAACTGCAGCCGCAGCCGCAGTAGCAACAACGGCCTGAAACCCAGGCACATATCGAGGCGCATCTTGATCCTTAAAGAGTAAAGGTCCAGTGAATTGGCCTAGAGACAATAAGACCGAATCGTGAAAATTGGTCGTTGCTGATTTGTAAAACACAAAAAAGATCGAGCAGATTAGACTTACCTAGACAGTATCCCAAGTAGATGCCAGACGAGCTGACAACCCGCTTAGTATAGCCGGCAGTATTGGCGATTGATAATCCCATTATAACACCCCATCCACAGGTGAATCCAGGAAAAATATAACAGCAGAAGAGGAGTCCGCCGAGAGCACTTAATGGCAACTTCCACAGCAGGCAGGCTGACACAACGGTAACCAGCTGGCTGCCAAAAATGATATAGCACCTCGATTTTGGCACTTTGTAGGCCGTATAGGTTGAAGCAAGAATGGCCACCCCGACCACAACTCCACCTGGTGAAAGGATGAGAAGAGCCTTGAAGACGTCGAGTTTGAACCCAACAACGACGACGATAGGAAGGAAGGCATTGACCACCCCGGCAGAAATCATGCTGAGGTACCCCATGGCAAATATAAGCCAGAACTTTTCATCTCTCAACAACTCAAAGAGTTGTTGTTTTTTGAAGTGCAGATTTCGGACGCCAGCATTATTAATTCGAAGCCGCGCCAGTGCGATATATCGTTGTCTCTCCGTCAAACCTTTGGCTCGAATTGGATCCGGTGGCATAAAGAACAGAATAACAAAGGCCCACAAGGTAGTTAGGATCCCACCCACAATATACATATAGCGCCAGGGTGACAGCGAGCCCTTGATATGACCCAATCCCCAGTTAATTGGAAAGCCGACGAATGAGATGAACGAGGACGCCGAATACCAAACTCTGAAGAATTTAGTGAATGCTCACAGTGGCGGAGAGAAATGAAGAACTCACCCCATCATTAGCGCTTGTTCGTCCTTCTTGTAAAACTGTCCAATGATGAGCATGAAGATGGGACTGACACCTGCCTCAAGAAAGCCCAAGAAGAACCGTTGGGCATAGAGCCCCTGCCAATTCTGGCACGCTGGGGTGAGCGCGAAACAGACTCCCCAGGTAAAGACGAGACATCCAGCAACTCGCTCAATAGGATACCTCTGTGCCAGTTGAGAAGCCGGATAGGCTCCACCGAGAAACCCCAGGAAGAAAATAGCCGCAGCCATCGAGTAGCGATTTCCTGTCAATTGGAGGTCTTCGCGAAGTCCGAAGATGGCCTGTCGATATCACACTGAGCCGGCATCCCTATACATGGAACATGTGGAATCTTACCGCCACGGATATCATAGCTGTTGATGTACTTCTTAGACAGGACATTGCTTCACCGAATACTGAACGCAACTTGGGTAGACCATACCTTTATCATAGTACTGCAACGCGTATGTGACGCATAGAATGGGCAACAGCCGTCGATCTAGTTTTCTGCGAAGTTTCTTCTCTTCCTCGGGTTCCCAAGTCTGCGGCCCGGTGTATCTGGTAATCACTTTGATGGCTTCATCGTTGTGGACGGTGTCGACAGAAATGACCTTCTCGAGCCCTGTCTCTTGTGGAGTTGGACTCGGCATGCGTTCCTCCTGAACGATCTCGTGCGGTTTGTCGTCGCTGGTCGCCATCATGTGAATGAGGTATTGTGTTCAGTCAGTATCTTTGCGGAAGTCAAACTGACTTCGCTGATTACTGAGCTTTCTTCCATTTCGTTGATTCGAGTAAATTTTTGAGGACTCGGCGGCTATACAAGGCGGCTATACAAGGCGGCAATAGAGAGACACATATAGACCTCGGAGGGCCCACCTAAGCCTAATTAGGTATAACCAGTTTGCATCATGTTTCCATCCCATCTTTCGTACATTTGCTATTGTACTATGCGGCCAAAGGACCTGCCCACGGAAATCAGACTCCCAGTCAAACCAAGATCCTCGGCTTCACCCGGCAATTCAATATGCAGAAACCGCCATTCCACCAAAAAAACCTTGAGAACGAGCTGCATGATGCCGATGGCCTCGGGAGGCGGCTTGCGGTCAAGCTGTTGCAGGATAGATCTATCAGCTTTACATCAACCGCTGATTCTCGAGCTTTTCTTCATATCAGCCAACAGTTCAATTTCTCCCTGTGCTCTTAAGACAGAAATCTTTCTGCAACATATAACATCTCCGATACCTGTCGCCCTTCGTTCTTCCTTGCTCTAGATCAACACCGCATTCATACCTCGCTACAATGCCTCGCCAAGCAGCGCCCGTTTACGTCTTAGGCGTGGGGATGACGAAGTTCATCAAACCTAGAGGCAAAGTTGACTGTAAGCTTTGCATCATTCATTGATCTGGTCATGCTCATTGATACTAACTTCTGAAAGACACGGAAGGTAACTTCTCCTGCGAATCAGCCCCTATAGTGCAAGCAAGCACACCATAGTTTATTCTGTCTTTCGTCATAAAATGGCCTCCACTACTGACACCGAAGCAGTTGCTTTTGAAGCCGGTATCAAGGCTATGCTAGACGCTCATATCAACTATGACGAGGTCGACCAAGGCATTGGATGCTATGTCTACGGCGACTCTACGGCTGCTCAGAGAGTATTTTATCAGTTCGGCATGACTTCGATCCCCATATATAACGTGAATAGCAACTGCTCCACTGGCAGCAGTGGCCTGAACATGGCGAGACAGACGGTTGCTTACGGTGCCGCCGACTGTGTCCTTGTGCTCGGGTTCGAAAAGATGTTCCCCGGCAGTCTGAAAGGGTTCTGGGACGACCGTGAGGCCCCAATGGGCACAACCGCCAAGATGTTGCAGGCGACGAAAGGATTCACGAATTCTCCCATGGCCGCCCAGCTGTTCGGTAATGCTGCAAGAGAATATATCGAGAAATACGGCGCCACGGAAGCGGACTTCGCTGAAATCGCTCGCATCAACCACGAACACAGTCAACGAAACCCTTACGCGCAGTTCCAGCAAGAATATACCTTGGAAGAAATCCAGAAGGCACCGATGATCCATGCGCCCTTGACAAAACTCCAATGCTGCCCGACTTCCGACGGCGCCGCCGCCGTCGTCCTAGTTTCGCAGGAGTTCCTGGACCAGAGACCGCGCCTAAAGTCTCAGGCGGTTCAGATCATTGGTCAGAGTCTCGCGACAGACTCTCCAGACCTCTTTAGCACATCTGCCATTGACCTGTGTGGTTACCACATGACCGAGATTGCAGCTAAGGAGGCTTTCCGACAAGCTGGAATTACACAGGATGACGTGAGCGTGGTTGAATTACACGATTGCTTCAGCGCCAACGAGATGATGTTGATCAATTCCCTCGGTCTGGCGCCTGTTGGGAAAGCACACGAACTCGTTCGCGCTGGTGGAATAACCTATGGTGGTAAATACGTGATCAACCCGTCGGGTGGTTTGATCTCGAAAGGCCATCCTCTCGGTACGGTAGCAAAAGTCTTTCTTTGATCTCTTTCGTTGCAATTGCTGATGATAGCCAAACCATAGGAGCAACTGGCCTTGCCCAATGCGCCGAGCTCGTCTGGCACCTGCGAGGCTGGGCCAACAACCGCCTCGTCAGGGACAAGGAGACGCGGTACGCGCTCCAGCAGAACCTCGGCCTCGGTGGCGCTTCGATCGTCACCATTTACAAGCGGGCCGATGGGAAGAAGGCCACGCCCGTCTCGGATTACGAAGTCGCCAGAATCACTGGTCTCGGATATAACCCAGCTACGCAAGCGAAAGGTTTCACCAGCGAGGACGTTGCGCGCACAGTCTCCAAGAAGCACTTCTCCAAGTTCGCTCTGCAGGATGTTCAGGAGAAGGTTCAGGCGAGGTTTTAAAGTGTCGGGGAGACGAGATGCTGGTAGTGTTTGTAGCTGTTGAGTAGAACGGTATGGCGCTCCTACTGTCCAAGACTCTGTCATTGCAAATATTGTGGGTTCTTGTGGATAAAACTACATTGTAGCACACATAGTCTCTAGCAGAGCGGCCGGAAACCTCAACCAGATCAATCTTTCAGCTCCCATAGACTATACGCAAATCGCAACAAATTGCACATTTCTCACCAAACCGTGAGGCTCTCTGATCTCTCCACACTTCCTCCTCCGACATTCTGGGGTTGTATTGGAGAACTGAAGCCATGGCGCCCATTATACTCGAAGGGTTCGGCATATTACAGTTACCGAGGCCTCACCGGCTTTTGTGGCTCCTTTCTCTCTCTTTCACTTGTTCATGTGTAGATACCCCGTCACCTCCGTCCAGCTCGGAGACAGGGACGGTCTCTCCACCAGAGCTCCTCCAGGCAGCAAAGAAATTCTGGGGTTCAAATTGCGGGATAAGGCCAGAAGGTTTCTACTGCAAACAGTTTAGCGGGGGGAGGAGGGCTCGTGTGACTGGTCCCTGGGGACATCAGGCCATCCCTTTCTTTGTCGTTCCCTTGTTCAATCTCAATTCTCTTCGATTTCGAACCAGTTACCGTGATACACACGATGAAATAAGACAGTTTGTTTCTGTGCTAGCAGAGGCTACAATAGTTGATTTCTGCGCAAGAGCAAGACGAGTGTTATGGCCACCACCCACTTGCCCCCCCCTGAAACCCTGACCAAAAGAGCAGGGAGAGCATGCCTGACCTGCCGGTCACGCAAGATCCGCTGCAACGTCGAGGAGCGAGGTCCTCCGTGCAGCAATTGTCTCACCGACGACGTCCACTGTCAGACGGCGAGGAGTAAGCGTGGCAAGAAGCCCCGTCCACGCTTGAAGACGAACAACCAAAGGCATGCTGGACCAAAACACGGAGCAATCATCCCAGATGTCGGCGCTCTTGATGGCTGCTCAGGACCAATAATAGCCCCGTCGTGTCGAGGTCGAGTCTCGCCAACGCATACCACAGGATGGCTCGACGATAGCGTGGATATGGACATGCTCTCCCAATCCTGTATCCAAGGTATGCATATGTTTTCCACCTTCACCTGAACCTTGGTTGTGGGGAGGGGGTGAGCTGACAATCCTCTAAAACCAGCTACTACGGCTCCTGAACAATCATCTGCGACCGCTCAACTCGATGCACGGTTCCTGCACCAGGAACTGAGCTATGCGTCCCTCGTCGACAAGGAGGCAGTGCACAACCGAATGAACAACAATGCTGCTCTGACGCCCCAGAGCCTGACCGCCGTCTCGCAGCCTTCTCCCTCCTCGGCACCGTCCTTGCGGACAACCCACGACAGTCTTCCAGATATTGTGACGCCGCTCTCACAGAGCCTCGGCGTAGACGACATCAACTATCTCCGCCTGAAGGGCGCCCTGGACCTGCCGTCGGCAGGTTTTCTGAAAGCTCTGCTCACCGCTTACATCCAGTTTGTTCACCCGTACATGCCGACCATCGATCTTTCTGCTATTCGTGGGGCTTTAAATGGCGAGAGCGCAAGTATCGGTATCCTTCCATTACAAGCCATCGTATTTGCCTCCGTCCCTTTTGTAGACACCAGCGAGATTCAGAGAGCGGGTTTCAATTCTCGACGGGCCTGCCGAAAGGCCTTTTACGAAAGGACTCGAGTAAGTGCCATGCCTAGAGTCCCATACTGACCCCACATATCTTAACAACCATCGTAGCTACTTTATGATCATGACGTGGAGACTGATAAACTCGCCATCATCCAAGCCGTGCTGTTGATGGCATATTGGAGCGAATATCCCGGCGACAACAGGGGTGCATGGTACTGGATGGGCATTGCCATTACGCTTGCACAAACCCTGGGCATGCACAGGAAGGCCGAGTACAAGGTGCAGTCTCAGGAATCCAAGCTGCACAAACGAGTATGGTGGTCGTGTTTCATCCGGGATCGAATGCTTGCGATTGCGATGGGTCGACCGCTGCGGATCAAAGAAGCAGAGTTCGATACGCCAGCACTTACACTCGAAGATTTCGACATTGTCGATCTGTCTAGTACCTCGGAGAAAGTGCTCCTGACAATGGTCGACCAGATTGCTCTAGCGCAGATGTGCATCAAGAGCACTGAACTATGCAAGCTGGGAGCAGAGGTTCTCGAGCTCCATTTCTCTGTTCTGCCCAGCGAGAAATCCACGTCGACGGCCAAGGGGGACAACGGATCCACGGCGACGATGATGTTCTTGAAGAGTAGCACGTCGAACGAACAGCTTGTGCAGAGGTACGATGAGGAACTACAGGCCTGGTACAAGACACTTCCCGCTTCATGCGTCTATAGGGCCCAGGCCGGCCAGGAGGGATACAGTCCTTGTGTCATCACCAATGCGGCGTCCTTGCACATCACGTTCTGGTCTGTGGTCTCGGCCCTGCACCGGCCACAGCTTCGAAACAAGGACAAGGCGCTCTCGGTCAAGAGGGTCGAGGAAGCGGCCATTGAAGTGTCGAGAGTCGATCGCGAGATGCACAAATCACAGCTCGACCGGTACCTTCCAGCCACGGCTGGAATCCCCTTCCAATTCACCGCGTTCATCACGCACACGAAACGCCTCGAGAGCCAGACGACCAGCGACGTGACGACCGAGATACTGGCCTCGCTGTTCTTCTGCATCAAAGTCTTGGAAACGTCCCGAGAGGCATTTCCGGGCGGCGACGCAGGCGGTGACTTCCTGACGTACATCGCCATCATGGCCAACGTCACGCTCCTCTTCAACCAGGAGTCGAAACTCTGGGGCGTCGAGTACCGAGGCGTCCACTACAGCCCGGGCAGCCGCCAGCTCAATCTCGCCTCTAGCTGCTTTGGTGCTGATTTTGGAGAAGCTTCGCCTCTTCCTCAGCACCATCAGCATCAGCATTCGCAACAGCAGCAACAGCAGCCGCAGCAAACTCCCCCGGATACCGTTCCCTCCACCAACCAAGAGCCGTGCAAAAATGGGAGGGTAGACACTGCCCAAAACAGTGCGCAACTCTTTGCTTCGTTCGACAATACGAATTTGATCGATCGGGCCAGTCTCGTGGACGTCCTTCCAACTTGTAACATAGATTATGACCACTCATTTGCAATGCTGGTTAACTTGGAGTACCTGGGGGACGTTGAGATGGTCGGATGAGTGAATGAATGAATGTCAGAACATTTAAATAGTTCGTATGATAAGGATGGAGCGAAAGGATGTAATACAGTCAGAGTCAGTGTAGTGAGGAGGAAAGGATAAGAAAGAGAAAACAGACCATGGTAACTATCTCACTCTCTCCTGCCGCATACTTCCTTCTCTATCATCTTTTCGATTCGAGGCTAACTGCTATCCCTCTCATTTCTGCTGCTAAACAGCATTCATCTCCCGCCTAGGTTCAAGACATATATCGTTGAAATGCTTCTACTATGTGGTATACGATCTATTTCCCGACAAAGGCATGGGCATGTCTGATCTTCTCGGGCCCTTTGATGAGGGCTGCCTCTAACCAGGAGGTATATAGAGCCGCGTTCACAACTTCACCATCCCGCTCCGAATTTGGTGCCATTCTTCGTCACCAAAAGGCTCGAACTGGTCGCTTCCAGGCCGCAGGTAGAATATCCTGTCGCCCTTGACGCCAACTCTGGCCGGTTCCACGCCCTCTTTCCTCAAGACGTGTTTCTGCTGTTTATTGTTCCCCGTCGCCACGACCTCGGTCACGACCCTCAAGAAGACCGGCACGGCATACTTTGGCAGGCCCGCCCGGGCGATGCTGGCGATGCTCGCCAGCACGTCCTCGGATACCGGTGTATCCGGCCTTGTCACGCCCCTGAGCAGAACCGCGGCACAGCCGGCGCGGCCGTCATGATTCGGGATCTCGACGCCATAGACGTTGGCCTCGATGACGGCAGGGTGACGGCCCAGCACCCCTGCGACTTCGTTAGTCGAGACGTTTTCGCTCCGCCATCGAAAGGTATCGCCGATCCTGTCGGAAAACCACATCCTGCCTTCCTTGTCAAACCTGACAACGTCGCCTGACCGAAACCACGCATCTCCCTTCTTGAAGACATCCCTCCAGATCTTTGAGTCGGACGCCTTCTTGTTGCCGTAATATCCTACATACTTAGACGCAATATCCTTTGCGTCGACGGCATAGAGTAACTCGCCGGGCTCACCCCTTGGCACTTTGACACAAAATCCCGTTTTGGGATCTCTACGAGGCTCTTCCCTTTCCCAATCGATATCAACGATGGCTTGTACTCTGGAATACTGCAGTTCACCCAGTAAACCGACTTGGCCGATCGCGCCTGACGAGAATGAGTTTCGGTTCAGGTTGAAACTTGCAGCAACAGATTCAGTCGCGCCGTAGAATTCTGCAATCGTTTCGATACCGAAGCGATCCTTGAAGCGCTCCCAAACATCTGGACGCAGCCCATTCCCAAGGGCGAGCCGGACACGATGTCGCGTGCGGTCGTCGGGTTGCGGGGGAACAGCGAGCAGGTAGCGAAGTGTTTCGCCCACGTATGAAAACACGGTTGCGTCGGCGGCAACCAGCTCGTCCCAGAACTTAGAGACAGAGAACTTGCGGCTCAGTATAAGCGTGGTGGCGTGTTCGAGACAGCAATTGAAGCCGAGCAGGAACGCAGTGCCATGGTACAACGGCATGGAGACATAAAAGCGGTCGGGCTTCTTGGAGGTGACAGGCTCAAGACCGATCCAGCGAGGTATCAACATTGCTCCGGAGATTTTGCGCCCCCAAGGCACAATGGCAGCTTTAGGGAGACCGGTTGTCCCGGAGGTGAAGATCAGAACCCCCGGTGAGCGAGCAGTTATTCCTCCTCGCGCATTGTCGGGGGCACGGAACGATGGACCATATCCGGATTCGAGGGTCGATTGCAAGTCCTGTGTAAAGACGACAGTTTCCAATGAAGGGGAGTCGATGCCACGA